TAATTTGTAAATGTGTAGGAATCTTGTTTGCAGGAGGTTTGGTGATTTTCTTTTAGGTCAGCTGTAATTTTTATGTATCATACTCAGTGGCTTTAAGGTGAAATAAAGGCATATGGTGAAAAATGCATGTAATTGTGGTGCTCTTTTTTGATGTTAGTATTGCTTACACTTTAGCTCTTCTTAAAACCTGTGTGAACTGTTTTCAAATTATCAAAACATAGATAACTAAAGATAAATAAAAGCTAAGGACTTTTATAAATGGTGATGTTGTTGGCCTTCTGCAGTAGGAATGGGAAGCATGTTCAGATTGTGGAGGAAATCATCACTTGCCTAGATAATACATATAAATATATATTAAAGTATCTGCTTAAATATATTTTCTTAATTCTAAAAAGTTACTTTCAAAAGCATTCTGGTTTTAATGATTGCCGTGAATGAACTGTAACAATATGTTCATCCGTGGCAATCGGTAAAATGGCAGACACCATTAAGATTATAAATATCTTTTAGCACAAAAGTAGGAAATGTTCACTCTTGGCGAAATCTTTATCTTGCAGGTGATATGCTTGATCTTCTTAAGTGGAGAGCTCATCCTGAGAGGATCACTGACAGCCTGTCAAAACTAAAGGAGATTGATGGTTCAGAAATAGTCAAGGTAGGTTTTAGTTTTTATTTGCTATATGTATGTGTGCATTTATAGTATAATACAGAAACTTTTTAATTTAATATACTTTCTTTTTTTTTAACAGTTTTTACAAGATACACTGGATACACTTTTTGGAATTTTGGATGAAAATTCTCAGAGATACGGGTTGAAGGTTTTTGATTGCTTAGTAAGGTTCTTTTTTTTCCGGGTTTGTTTTTCAAATTGTACTGTCTATAAAATGTAATGAAACATTTATGCATAATGACTCAATATCGATATCAATAGTGGATCATTTCCTGTTATTACTTGTGTGTGTAAAGTAACATGTGTGCCTTAAAAGTCCTACTCTTACCTGTATCTAGCTGGGAAGTCTGGAAAGTACTGAAAAGTATGGGAGAAATTTTTCATTAGGAGATAGACACTACAGTTTGGGATTGTTATAAATCCTCCCCAGTATTTTAATCATTGCTGTTTCATCTACATGTCAATGTTAGAAGGATGTTACACTGTGAGATAAGCATGTTCTTCACTTATAATAATAATGTAGTCTGTATGCAATTTTAGATGCATTTGCGTTGGTTGAATTTACTTATCAAATCAAGTACAAATGGAAAGCTGCACTTGTGTCATTTATTGCCTCAAGTTGACATAAATTTTGTTATGATTGTCCTATTTTTCAGGTTCATATTATCAATCTGCTGCAGGACAGCAAATTTCAACATTTTAAGCCGGTCATGGACACTTATATTGAGAGTCACTTTGCAGGTGCTCTTTCATACAGGTATGGCCAACAGTGTATCACATGTTCCATATAAATCTAATTCAAATAAGAACTTCACAAGTAACCAATAAAGTTATATGCTGTTTTCTCTGTACTGGCTACCCATTACTGGCAGTACACTAAAGCACAAGTTCATGATAACAAAAAACAACAATGGAGAAAGCAGTATTACTGCAGTATTTTCCCAGTTTTTAAGTTTGCCCCTCTTCCTTTACAAATGTCCCAGTTAAAACTGAACTGAGTGGCATTAGCTCTGGTTCACCCACGGAGAACATTTCAGAGCACCTTCTTCATTGCCCTTTGTCTGATGCTCGGGGTCGAAAGTAGAAAGAGGAAGGTTGTGGTCTTGGTGATGTGACAGCCAAGCGTACAGTGCTCACAGTCATGAGAGAAATGAAGTGTGAATTCATCACCTGTGACAAAGTCCTTGCCAGTTAGTGTGATTATGATGATGTGTCTAACACGCAGGGAGATAATGAGCCAGCCCTCCAAATAAGTACAGGCTTGTGCACTGTCTGTATCCTGGAATGCATGCTTCCTGCCAGGCCTGCTGTGCCAAGTTTTCTTCTTTTAACTCTTGTGTCGAAACTGCTCTTCATCCGGCACACTGCAAAATGATTCCCAGTAATCCCATGCTTTTTGTTACCTCTATTTCAATCACAATCATTTACTGTGGAAAAAGAATTTACCAAGAGGAATATTTTCCTCCGTCATTCAAAATGAACAAATGAGAAACAGTTTTGTAAGGTATTCATAATACTTTATACAACATCTCTAATAATCCAAAAATAAAAAAAATCCTCAAAGGATTAGGATTCTCCTGAGGATAAATTGCTCTCCTAGTTTGTTGATACTGTACATATTTGAAGACAATTTGGAATATATGATCTATAAAAAAATAAAGTTGTTCATGCAACTTGAGTTCAGAGTTATCATTGTAATAATTATTAGTCACGTATTGTCTGAGGGAAATGGTGTGAAGCTGCCATTTATTCTGTTAATATTCATGCTATAATATTTGTCTCTGTGTAATTGCTATTCAAAGAAAATGATGACTGAATGACTTTGCCATCCTCAGTCTGGGTCCAACTTTTCTTCATTCACCTACATTGTGTTTCCATTATTATCCAAGGACAAAATATATGCAGCATGCTTCACCATCTGTAAAAAACTGCCAAAGGATAGTGGATATTTTTAACAAATACGCTCCTCTATCCTGAGAAAGGAACAAAGAAGGAGAGAGATCTGTGTCAGAGCGATAATTATAATGTGAATTAATTGTATGAAAAGAATGGCATTACCACCATTACCTTGGTCAACCCTCAGACAGGGCATATGGCATTCTTTAGGTTTCTTGAGGAAAGATGGTTTTTAAATTGCCACACAGCCAGGGTACTCAGATTGGTTTGTAGACCTTACAAAAAATACAATCCCAGGATTCAGTGCGTTTTTGTTCAGCTGTTCAGTTATTTTGAAATTTTGCACTTATAGAACTATACTTAAAATGTATTCTTATTATGTTTACTTTCAGGGACCTAATTAAGGTTTTAAAATGGTATGTGGACCGAATAATAGAAGCTGAACATCAAGAACACATACAGCAGGTGCTTAAGGTGAGAAATTAACTCAGATGGTGGGCTGTGTTCATGTACTGTAGTTGCATTTTCACCAACTTTAGCTGTTTATGTAAAAATGAATAAAGGTATGACCCAAAGGACTTCTGTTTTCCTATATTTTTTAAATTGTATATTTATTAATACCTACAGTTTAATCCATAGTAGGTTTGGCATTTTTGCTCATAAGATTGAATCCAACTATCCTTGTTTATCTTGAGATTTTTTTAACATTTGCGAATGCTTCCACGTCTTGACTTCTTCTTCCACTAGGCTACAGAGTACATCTTTAAATACATCATTCAGTCTCGCCGCCTCTTTGCCCTTGCCACGGGTGGTCAGAATGAGGAGGAGTTCCGTTGCTGTATTCATGAGCTCTTCATGTCCATTCGATTCTTTCTGTCCCGAGAAGGCAAGATGACAACACCCATTACTCAGACTCAGGTGGGTTCTTTTTGTTGGATTGTTTGTTATTGAAACAATGTTAGCTACACATTTGGGAGCTGTAGAGAAATATCATTGAACTCAAGTTACACATTAAGACAATCCAGAAAGGCAACAACCAGTGGGGATTAATTGAAGTTCACGTTTATTAATGATACATAAATGCAATGACAGCAAAAGGTAAAAGCACAATTTCCTTACTGTATACAGTATACTGGTTGTCTCATTTTCTGCAAACTCAAGATATGGAATGGGTTGGGCACAATAACATGGTCCTCTCAGTGTCCCTAAATGTGTCTAATACTGCATGTAAATGCTGAGTAATTTAGTCCTGTTGTTCTTTATCTGGATTCTGCTACGTACTTTGTACTCTTAAGGTTAATTAGTTCAAAGAAGCAATGCTCTTCATTATTAATGGTTGGAAGGGTGTGTAGTGCCCATGTACTGGTGTACTTCTAATATATTGCCCCATAATACAGTATTCATAAAAAGTGAGAAAAAATAACCAATCAATTATAACCCAATACGTAGTGTCTTGAGCATTTTTTAAATTATGTTGCTTTAAAGCATGCAGTCAAGATACTTATAAGTAAAATTTTAAACAAAAGTAAAAAACAAAATGTTAGTATGTAGATGATTAATATGAGACAAAAAGAAAAAGTCATGATTATTTAAGTTTCAGTCCCTTTGCTGTGACAAACCAAATTAATTGAGGTGAATACAATTACCTTAATGAGGCACACAATTACAGTAGGTGAGTGGCATCTGTGTGCAGTAATAGTTGTTCACATGATTTCAAAATAAATACACTGATCTCTGTATAGTTACTCAGTCAGATAGTAACTTTTAAGAACAATATTCAACCAGGAACACCATTTAGATTTCAAAAATGTAAATGGAGTTATATTAGAACTCGTCATGGTACACATCATGAGGAGGGTATAAAAGCATTTCGTAGACTCTCATTGCCTCTGAGCATGGTATAGTCAATCACTAAGAAGTGGAAGATACTTGCATGCTGCATGGATCAGCGCAAGAAAGGAAATGGTTCTGTATGAAAAAGTAAGGCCAACAATGATTGTAGGTAGTTATGACATTCTTGGAATCACAGATATCTGGCTAATGGAAAAGCATGAAGAGGAATGTAATGTTAGTGGATACACTCTGTTCTGAAGAGACAGGAAATATAGAAGAGGGTGAAGCGTGGCAGTATACTGTATATCAAAGGTTCAGGAATAGTGTTGATTATATTTCAAGAATGTAAAATGAAAATAATTTATATGCAAAAGAAGTTGTTTTCATGGGAGACTTCAATTTTCCATCACAGACTGGGGAAGACCTTTAGAAATATCGGCAGCAGAAACTGAAATGGTAGAGTTGGTCAATGACTGCTTTCTAATAGTTTGTTGGAACACTACAGTATGAAATTCTTGTTTAGATGTTGTCTTTTGAACCAACCTAGAGAGAGTGAAGCAAACAGATGAGAGAAGAACCATTAGTGTACTATAGTCATAATGTGGTGTACTTTGAAGAATATTTTGAAACCGTACATGTTGAGTCCAAAGCAAAAGTTCACAGTTTATGGAAAGCGTGCTTTGAAGGAATGAGATGCAAGTTAAGAGAAGTAAATTGGGATGTGATATGAAATCAGTGCAAAATGGGCTGCAACAGTTTAAACAAATTCTGCTTGAAGCACGGAAATAATTTATCCCAAAAGTTAATCAAAATATATAAAACAGCAACCCAAATGATTAAACTAATCTAATTTGTGGGAAAAAAAGGGAAAAGAGAGAACTTGATAAAATTATTTAAAGAACACCAGGATTCCATTAAAGAAAAAAAAATACAATGAGTTGCACTAAGAAAGGCCAATAGAGAAAATAAAAAGAAAATTGCAATGAAGGCTGAAATTATATTTCTTCTGAGACATTTCTTGAAAAAATGTTAATGGCTTCAACAACATGGCTAGGCAGCTTGTTCCTGCAATGCTTCATGTAAAAAAATGTACCTCCTGTTATCAGATTTGAATGCACTTCCCGATAGTGTTCATTATGTTCATTAAGTTTCATTCTCTGTCTTGTTTTGCTGTAAACTAATTCTGTAGGGGTGATTTTGTAATGTTTTTGATCATTTTGAACATGTGAATCAGGTCCCTAGTAGTGTTTCTTGTAGTCTGCTCTTAATTGCAACACTTCCAAAGTATGTATGAGATGCCTTTATAGACATAATTTACAGGCATTCCTTTATAGACAAAATGTCTTTCTATCCGCTCAAACATTTCCATTTACTTTGTCATTAAATCCAGGATTTTTAAGAGATAAATACCTTCCTGTTTCCTCCAGCAAACTAGAATATATCACTTTTTCAATGCTTTGTAAAACCCAGTCCTTCATAGATTTTCTTTCACTGCAAGAGTTTGACTTTTAGATTTCAACCCTCTTGAACCCTTAGTCTTGGATTTTATAGTTTTCTGAACCACAGATCCTGTAAAATTGTAACCAGCAGCATCCAATCTAATGTTTTGTGTGCTGCATCTTTATAAGAAGGCAACCAGTTTAAGGTGAAAGAAATTGCTTTCACTACCAGATTTACAGGCTTTAAAACTGTAGGGAGTACAATAATATTATTCTTTAAATCTTTGTATTTTCTATTTCTACATATATCAAATCACAGAGGGAACTCTGTGTTATTATACAAGCTTATTGCTTCTACCTCTTCAGGAAATACTGATCCTGAGCCATTTCATCTTGAGCGAAAAGCATTATCACTTAAGGGGAGAAAGCTAGAGGCAAAACTTTTGAAAGTTTATCTTTACTTAATGGGTTAGAATTATTCTGCAGAATACACATTACAGTCAGCGCTCTGAACTCACCACACCTCATTAAGCATTTGCTTTAGCTGCACATACAGTACATGCATTTTCCAAGGCCATGGTGCAAGCATTCCCTAAGGCAACTCTATTACATTATAAATATTTAGGACCCATCTGGTACTAAGTGTGGAGTTCTTCTCAACTGAAAGCCTGCAAATGACAATTCTTCATTTTCAACACTAATTTCATACCTTTGGCATAAATTAAGATGTTTTTGTACTGAAATGGGACTAGTTGTAGTATACAGAGAACCAAAGTGCTGGATGAAAGGCAGCTGAGTTAGGGAACCCACAGGCAGCCGCAAAGAACTGCGTTTATAGGAGCCTGGCTATGTGGGGAATGCACACTCTGAAGACAAGTTGCAGGCTTCTTGCTGACAGGCAAGCTGAGTGCATTAAGCATACAGACAGACATGGTTGTAAAGCCAGCTCGAGATGCAGGGAAACTCTGTATTGAAGGGCGAACCCAGAAGTTGACGTCATATTCCAAGGTTAAATCCAAATCCAAAACCGAGCAGGAGCAAGGAGATAACAAGCCATGGGGAATCTGGTAGAGAGGTTGAGGGCATAAGCTAAGGTCAGAGCTGAGAACCACTACAGAGAAACAAAGCCAAGGGGTGATCTGAGAAATAAGATAAGCTAGTGAACATCAGAAATCTGAACAAAATACGGCTCGGGGTCTAGAATCCGAACTCTAGAACAGAACTTGAAGGGCTAAGGGCTCAGACTTTGTCGGTTCCGAGTATCTTGATAAGCACCTGGAATGGGTGGGGTCATAAACCCATCTCCAGGTGTTTGGTTTCTGAGGCAACGGGTATAGGAAATATGTTAGCCATGAAGTGCTCAGTAGCATGGCCAGCCATAATTTTTCTTGCCAAATTTGAGGTATAAAACACATATAATAATTTTAGCAATAAATTATACATTGGTCTAATAAACATCATAAAAAAACTGAATATTATCTTTATATGTAATTATGTTTTGAAGAAAATGTTAAGTTAAAGGCTGCAGACTGCTTTGGGAATTAATCATAACGCTTGCAGAGAAATGGAAAATTCATAAAGTCAAAAAAATGAAATAAGCCATAAGACAAATGAATTGGGTGAGATTCTACGATGTTGTAATATAAATAACACAATTATTTATGGTTCATAGCCCCTATGCAAACATCCATTTTATAGTAAACCTTTTTATTCATACAGTACTTGCTTTATTTAGGCTGTGCTTTTCAAAGTCAGCATAGTTTTTTATCTTAAAAAGCACAATGTAGACACCACAAAATAAGTCTTATTGAAACTGCTTTTGATCAAACTGGGTGAGACCCCCTCAAAAGGTGGTCATTTTTTGTGTTGTGTGATTTTGCTGCAATCATTGAGTCATTTTGCACTTGAGCCCCACTGGAAAGTGAGGAGGTGCAAACCGTGAGACAAATTATGGCAGTAAAGTGTGAGAGAAGAAAATGCAGATGTAATGAAGTACAGGAACAAGCTGCGGCTGAATGTTGAACCTATTTTTTTGTTTCTTCATTTAGCACATTTTATAATCAATATATACATGTAATTTGTACAGCATTACATGTTTTTTTTCCTGTAAATGCTACGTGCTTTACATAGGTCAAAACATAACAGAAAACAGTTACAAAAATGTGCAGATTTTCTCTGCTGCCATCTTAACCAGTGTCTTAAGATGCATTGTTTGTTGTTAGACCCTTTCTAACAGATCAGTGGAATTTCAAAAATAACTCAGTCCACATAAATCTGAATTGAAACAGCAAAACAACTACATCCTCTTTGATGCCTATTCATTTGTTTTCAGTAAAGGTTATTGGTGATTAAAGAAGGAGCCAAGTCCTTTTTTTTACCCCAGAGTTTTTCTGTTAGAATAGAGCTATACAGTATGTGGAAAGGTACTGATTTATTTGTTGTACTTAGCAGGAATCTTTTTTTGTGGCGGAGAGATGGTGTGAAGTAATGCCTTATTCAGTGGTGATGATTTTATAGTTGCCGTAAGTAATATCTGTAATGACTATGATTTCTGAGGCAGGATTAGTATTGAAACATTAATCCAATCACAGATTAAAGCTGCTATTTCCTCTGATGTATTGAAAATTAGGAAGAGTTTGTTAGCCACCTGGAAATATGTTACATTCTGACTGTCATGCAACTGAATTGTGTTAAGAGATTTAGGTTTTGCCTTGATCGTTTGTTTATTACTACAGAAATGAGAAAGCTCTTCTCTTGTTTTGGTTCTTGAATATCAAAAGTACTGTAAGAGAGCAGTGATCAATTGCTGTCTGTGCTCATTTCATTTTGCAGAAATTAAAAACTAAAGACAAAGAGGGTAGTATGAGGAGAATCAAAATATTAAATTGGCAGTGTGTGGTTGTCTTTTAGCATATATGAGTGTCAGAGGTTTTAAATATTCCTTTGCGATCTCTAGTGTGAGGAATGGAAAAAACAACTTTGTGTGGTGTCATAAAAAATTGTGTGCAGCAGTTTGCATTATTGAATGAGGATTTCAAGTTGACATTTGTTGTCTTTATGTTCCTCTGTTGCTTTTCAGGCGGTTTTCCTGAAAACCTTTCCTGCTGTGTACGGCGAGCTGCTGAAGATCTTTAGCGTTCGGGAAGTGGCAAACTTTGTGCGAGAAACGCTCGGCAGTTTGCCAGTGATCACACATGCAGATTGTCCCTTGGAAGCTGTTAAACTGCAATGCATTGCAAAAACAGTGGAGAGCCAGCTGTACACCAACCCTGGTATGGAATTCTTAGTGGTTGATAGACAATACCCCAAATCAGTCTCTGTGCAGATGCCAGAGAATTGCAGCTCTTTTTCTGTATTGCTTTATGTGATGTATTTACCGGTACATGTGGCACACAAATGTCCATTTCAAATAACAGAAAATCATACTAGGAAATGCTATACAATACATTATTTTCTTGTACTATAGGATCAGTGTTGATATTTGAAATAATTTACCTTTTTTATTTGTCAGTGGTAAAATGATGTTAATCTGCTTTTTACTGCACTTGGTTATGCTTAAACTACATATCAAATTTCAATAATAATAGCAATAATAATAACTGTTTATGTTTCAGAACTCTGAAGAATTGTATTTAATTAGTGGGATGATGTCAGACAGCATAAGATGTGCTCTTGTTTGGTCATGAAAGAGTTATATTTGACATCATATTTGGAACCATTACCATTTTAAGCATTCAACTAATTTGGCATTCTGCTAGAAAGTAATTAGAATTTAGATGACTGATGGCTGAAATTTTAATTACATTATTTTTATATCTGTGCTCATTAATTTTATCACTTTCTGTAGCAGACAGATGTTTATAAAATTTATAATAAGCTTCAGGCATATTCTGTCCACTATAGTCTCATTTCCACTGCCAGTTATACTTTGAGAATAGAAGTAGTCCCTTGAGCTGTTATAAAAGACTTGTGTTCTTTCTCCTTCAGGACTTCATGTGATGTAATAGTCAAAGGTTATTTAAAAGCTGTAAGAATCACATAAGCCAATTTAATGAGGCAGAATTATGTTTGTGTTTGGCATTTAATGGTTTCTTAGGGAGAGGTTTCTCTAAACAAACCTGAAACATGAATGCTTATAAAAGACCATTATTTACTTGTTTCTTTGCAATTGCTTGATTTCTTAAAGTCACAGAACTGGTCAACTATCCATTTAGTTTACTTGTATACAGAAGCAGGTTGTTAATAAGTACATGCATTCATAATGTAACAAAAGGTTATCAAAACCTGGATTGATCATGTATGAAGATATTTTTCAGTCTCTGCGTGTTCTTTGCGATAGTTATAGACTTGTAGGATGTTTCTAATGTTCTAATGATTATTTCAACAGAAATAATCCTTAGGTTTGTTTTTAAAAAGATAATTCTTGCCTATCATTCCTCATACCACCAACACAGAACTGGGAGCATTCATTACAATACACAAACCAAACCGGACTGAGATATGGATGATGTGGGTAGTGAGTACCTGGAAAGGGTGCATGGAGAGGCTCACTCACAAGCTAGATTTGTCTCAGGATCCCTGGGCTGTTGCAAGGCTGCTTTGAATGTTCCTCTTAAACTTCAGTTTCAACCCATTCTGCTCTCCTTCCATCCAAGACCCCAATGGCCAGACCAAATCATGAATAAGCAAATTTGCAGATGTTTTGACCCTACTGTATTCCACAGACACACCCAAAGTATTTTGATACTGCTATGGAAACCCAGATAGATGGTCATGATGGAAACTACCTTCATTTTATTGAAGGTTTAAGCAGAGTGAAAAATAATTCGTAGTAGGAAGCCAAATGTCCAAAGTATCATCAGCTGTTCACCACCTTTAAAAAAGGCAGATCCTTGCACAAACATCTCATGATCAAAATACATTTGAAGCAAAGGTTGAATATGACAGACACAGCAAGTAGGGTTTCCTTAACCGTTAGCTGTTTAACAAGACATGAAGTGTCTGACAGGTGCAGAAATATTCTGTCATGTGATAATTAGCAAGTTTTACAGAGAAATATCAGAGTACAGTACATAACATATCTCTGTCCAAGATAACATAAAACCTTTGCAAACAATACTCTCTTTAAGGTCGTTGGTCTTTCAATAGCAAAGGACAATCTTAATAAATTGTTCCATGTTGATTGTTTTTGTCAACAAGTTGAAAAACTATTATTTGAACCAATGGAAGTTTCTGTTGCTTTTAAAAATACAACAAATAGAGGTATAACTTTTCTGTGATGTTAAGGTTACAGTGTGGCTTTTTATGATGTTTTATCCTATGTCATTATGACTATGAATGCTACTGGCTTAAATATCTGTTTCTTCATTGGCTTATTAATGTAATCTGTACTGTGTATTCCTGGTAACTCTGCCAGAATTCATGTAATGTGTTTCAGGAATTTCTGAAATTAAGTTGAATTTGTTTTTACCCATTTATTACATTTTAATGCAATATTTCCAAACATTTGCTTTACAATTGTTATTATAGATTCAAATAATAGGTAAATCATACTCCTTCTTGCTTAAATATGTATTTTTTTCCACTGGCCTATTGAAGGTATTTTAAACAAATAAAGCATTTGTATAATCACACACAGCTTCAATTAAATTGCACAGAGCAAAACTATGCAAGTGTTTAATTAAAAAAACACATCCAAACAAAATAATTTGAAGATGAGAACATTCCTCAAATGGCAATTTATCAAAGCAAATATGGGGACTTTGCTTTGTAATTTGCTTCAATACAACAGTTGCCCTTTAACACAAACATAAATTTAATTTGCAAAAGAACAAAGCAAATACTGAATTAAGGTTTGCAGACATGAGAAAAAGTTGACACAAATGCCTGTATCAAAAGCTTGTCAAGAAATTAAAAAAAAACCTCCCACACTATAGTAGAAGCCAAATGAGAATTTTAACTGGCAATGATTTGGATTGCGAAAATGATATTTCCCAAACAGAATATACATCTGTGCTTAAAATGAATGTTTTCTTGTCATTTTGGTTCATTTAGTCTCAATATTTCACAACAAATACATGATTTATTACACTGTGTTATTATATGCTGGAGGGCAAATGCTTTTTATGTTTCTATTTTAACCATAACATTTTCCGCCATTTCATTGTGGTCTTACCACACTATTGCACTGTCATGTCTGTAAAAGAACACCAGTATACAAATGTTTTAATACATGCTGCTCAATGACAACCACTGACTGATAGCTAAACATCTGTGCCAAGAAATGCAAGCACAGCATTTCTTATTTTTTAATTGACTGCATTTCTGATTTTTCCTCTTATTTTTTTGGTCTATGCACATTTCCTCCTCAGTGGCTTCTGTCTGAACAAATGAAGGGTGCATATTTGCAGATGGTGTACTGCAGTGTATGATTGCATTTTCCTCATCGGCTCAATCTTTCCTTTAGATTCCCGCTGCATCCTGCTGCCAGTGGTCCTGCACCATCTACAGATGCATCTGCAGGAGCAAAAAGACCTCGTCATGTGCGCCCGAATACTTAGCAGCATGTTTTCTCTCATCAAAAAAGACACCACAGTGAGTACAGTCGAATTTCCTCTTGTCATCCCTCCTGAAGATTTGTGAGAAGGAGGACCAGCATGCAAATACCAAAGCCATGTTTGAAAGTCTCCAAATTAGTTTCAAATCACATACATTTTTTGGTGGAATTCATGTCTGCATAAAGAGTGAACCTGAAGAGCTCAGCTTTTACTTCCTGCGCTGAAGCAATTACATTATTGATTCTGAATTGGAATTCACTTCCTTCTGTGTTCTGTCCACAGTACATTCTTTTTTCTGGTTTTTGCTTTAGGTTAGTTCATGCGACATAATGTACTAATACAATATTCTACTTATCATTTCACAAAAAAAAATGTGACCTCAAGGAAGGGGAGTGGGGAAACCAACCTTGCTCGTTGGCAGAGTGTTGTACAATCACACTCTGAAATTACCTCCTGTGTCTTTGCCTTATCACCAGCTTTTGTATTGTCAGGAACTTTGATTGCTGGAAAAGCTTGTTAACACAGTAAATGACTCTTGAAGTAGAAATAACATTCAACAGTAAGCCATAAGATAAAGATTATTAGGGATAATTAGGCAGTCATAACTGTCTATTTGTGATATATACAATTAAAAACAATGAAACATTGTGGTTTTCAAGCAATTTGTCTTATATAGAAAGTTAAATACAATTTGAGTCTTTCTAAGGGTGTGTACAGCATATTTGATTATATGCTTTATATTTATTATTAGTTTGCTGTGTATAAGACAGGACAATAAAAAAAATCCTAAGTGATCTTCCTTGCCTCCTTTAACCTTAAGATGTAAGGACACAAACAATCAAGCCTAGCAAGGATGTCAGCTACACACCAGCCCATACACAGCAAATAGTAACATCTAACACTTTTAAGACATGCTAAAAACAAACTGGCAGCAGGAAGACAGATTTTAACTATACATAATCAAGCTGTTCGAATGTATTTCTTCTGTCAGAATAAATCTGTAAACATGGAGCATGTATCTCAAACTTTGTTTAACTTAAAAGAAACAGACTATCTCAGCTGTCTTGATTTTCCTTTTGTGTCTAGGAGGTTATAATCTCTGAAGAAGTAGATCTGATTGTGGAAAGTCTGTTGGGTGTATTGCTCAGAACCATATTAGAAATCACCAACCGGCCACAGCCAGCTGGAACTGCCCTGCGCTTGCAATTTCAGGATGTCACGGTAAGGATTAAGGTCTCAAGGGCTTTCAAGAGGAATCATACTCTATACATGCCCTAAAGATAATAAATGCGAGTTAGAACTTCTAACCCCTCACAAAGTCAGAAAAGGTTTAGAGTGGTTCCCATATAAGGGGCAAGTAACCCGGAGTCTTTGAAGATTTCATGGAAAAGCTGTGTAGATCCTCAGTTTGATCCAGAACTCGTTTAACAGAGAAATAAAAAAGCGAAGAACATTTTCATTACAAAGAGTTTTTTAAATAAACAATCCTTTTCAGTTGTATAAAATAAATTGCTTTTAAATAAACACTACAAGAATTGAACCTGTGCTCATCTTAAAGAAAATGAGTGGCTTTCCTGTGAATTGTCTCTTAGGATCCATATATACTCTAGGTGGTTAATTTTTATTTCTGCATTACCTATCATTTCTCAGAGGTTGACAGATTTTTTTTTTTCTCTGAATAAGGGTGAGTTTGTGTCTTGTCTGCTGGCTCTACTACGACAAATGACAGATAAACACTATCAACAACTCCTAGAAAGCTTTTCTAACAAAGACGATCTGAGGGTAAGTTGTTCATTTTCTGGGGCCGGTGTATTGGAATCTGATAGACATCATATCGTTATTTTTTGGGGTAGTGTTGTAAAGACAGGCAACACACAGCCTTTTCCATGTCCTTTATTAGAACTGTAGTAAAAAGATGTAAATAAATAAGAGTTAATCACCAAAGATAGCAGGTGAGAGCAATGGTTACATTTACTTTAAGGAAGTTCTACTGTGTAGTACAGTAGGTTCAGTATCCGCTACTTATCATTATCCGCAGGAGTTCGGTGCAAAGAACGATCGCAACGAAGCCAAGTTTACGTATAACCAAAACAATAAGGGTAGACGTTAATCCAACACTGAAAGCAAAAACAAAACTAACCCATGGAGCCTTCTTTACTGTAGGTGTGTTTACCTCCACATCCAAATAATTTGTTCTCCTTTCCTTTACTTTTCAGCATAGAATTAACCCCTACTTTTCCCCTTGTATCCTGCAGGCTGACACAGCTTTCCACTAGTAACTAATCTGAAAGACTCCTTTCATCTCCAATAAATATTCCTCTTGGTAAATACCACTTTTAGATCCCTGGAATCTAGCTTTATTAAGAACATAAGAGAAGTCGGTAATGGCAACAGACCATTGATCAAATAAGTGCTCTTCATTTTGATGTCACAGCTTCAGGCTTAGCTTTGAAAGATCTCAGTAATAACTACCTCTGTGTATTTTGGTAATATATTCAATTTCCTTATATTTTTTATGAAATACGTGTTCCAGTATCATTGCATGATTGGCTATTAAAATGTCTCCTATTATATCCCAGTTTTCTGATCCTAAAACTAAAATTAAAATAAATACTAAGGTCAGCTTTTTTTATTCCATTTCCAATTTTGAAAAGCACAGATGTCGAATATTTCTAAGAAATTGCATTCAGTTGTCACTATACAGTATATTAATGGATAAACATTTAATGTGCGTCTTCACTTAATGACTTAATGTAATGTTTCTCTTTGTTCTAAGCAACACGTTTACAAAAAAATAATTTCTCATTGTGTTCATAGGTATAAAAGTATTTACACAGCATGCTATGCCATATTTTCTGTGCTTGTGATTACATTGTTTTTAATGGAGACAAGCTAGCACTGCTGTGTCTCATGAGAAATAAACATAATAAGCATATGGCACTCAAAGGCAGGTTTTTGCAGGGATTTAAATAATTGGCTTATATGAAAGAAAATATGTATGATTGCTATTACTGTAGCAATGATGATGCTGTATTGTTTTTTTCCAGAAAATACACAGCTTGTATTGTTTCAAGCCTAAAACAATGCACTAAGACACAGCATTTACTTAGTGGAATGGGTTTGTCGGCTTTGTTTTCAATTAATGAAGCACGGTGTCTCAATTTCTTTAGTAGTTGGCAACTTTCATTTTTTCCATGTAAAGTGCGAATCATCGTCTTATGCAGAGTGTAGAACTGATACATGCAGCATTATTTACTGCAAAAAGGATAAAATGTTGGCTGAAAATAAGCATCCATGTGCCAAGTAGCAGAGTATGATTTCTTTATTCGTGTCAGTCATTACCCCTTTATTTCTGTAGCCTCTCCACTACTGAACAAATATGTAGCAGAAAACATTATTGGACTTTTGTTATTATACTGCAGCTGTTTACAAATGTAATTACACCATTACAGAATACATAATTGTCATGTCTGCTGCTTAAAGTGGAACTAAGCAGCAGTTGTGAGTCACTAGATTAAACCAAGTGCTGGATGAGAGAGACAAAATGAAATCGGCTGGCAGTATGGTCTGGGAAAGCGGGAAGGGAAACCGGCAGAATGGTGGTGAGCACACAGGCAAGTGCGATATAGGAAAACTCGTTCCAAAGCTGTTCTCCGTTACAAAGATCATAGCTGAGTAGAACACATAGGTAAAGCACAGAGGGGAATTCAATATCAATGTTGAGGCAAGCAAGCTGAATCCATAATTGAAAGAAGTCTGTAGTGTGGAATGATGGAATGATGGTAAAATGCAAAGACGAGGTCAGGATGAAGCTGGGTCAAGACTCCAAGAGAAAACTAAGAAAGGATCGCAAGCTAGAGAGGTAACCTGAGATTCAGAGTTAAAGTCTATACCAGATCCCAAAGTGTATTCAGGGCTTAAAGTTCCTGAGCCTGTGGTGGGTGTGGTTGCAATTGCCCACAGGTGGTATAGGTCCCCTGTCTGATCACATGTTTATAGGAAATGGCACGTACGGTAGGAGAGTAGAGGCTAAGGCAGCTACCATTAAATAAAAAGTTCATTTAATTTTAATACCAATCACATTGGTGCAAACAATATCTTACTTCAAACTCTCTTATCTTCCTCATTTCCTCTCATTTTTTCAGGATTTCCTCTTGCAGATCTTTACAGTGTTTCGGATTCTTATTAGGCCAGAAATGTTCCCTAAAGACTGGACTGTCATGCGGTTGGTCACGAACAAGTAAGGCTTTTCTGAAGTATTATCCTGAGGCTTATGCCTGGGTATCGAGTGAAATAATGGAATTATAAAAGAATAACTAATAACTCTGTGTTGCTGTCTGGTACTAAAAGGCCAAACATTCTTACAGTCTTTTTAAGTCATGCTAAGAATCAATAATTGCAAAAACTTGTTTGTGTTTCTTTTTTTAAGTGTAATCATCACTACCGTGCTGTACCTCTCGGACGCGCTGCGCAAGAATTTTCTGAATGATCATTTTGATTATAAGGTAGGAGTAGCTGGCTGTGCAGCCTGTGCCTTTAGGTCATTAAGCAGTCACAAACATACTGTGTTTAAAATTGTTTTCATTTTACTACCTGGCTTAAGAACAAAGTCCCTGGCTTTATAAGATCTGCACTCAGATCTCTTACTAAGCTCCCTACTAAAACACCTACGGTCAGGTAGTAAGGTTAATATTAATTAATAATGGCTTGTAGAAATTCAGATGTAAAGCATTATAGTCCAGACACGACGTGGCACTAACTCTGGATGTTGGACTAACAATGGGTGTTTTTGAAGTTTCTGAAGGAGAAATAAAGGCTATTTTCTCAGTAGAATGTTGTGTAACCTAACTAAGTAGTTCTGTTTTCTATAGTTTTGTTGTTTTTATCATCTACATTTAAAAAAATAACACTTCAAAATTAAAACAACACTATCTGTGCATGACTTTTAGATAGGCAATTATCTGATGCCTTTAAAAGACATTAAAATATTTGGTTTTAAAAAATGGCATAGCATCTTCAGCCAGCATGTAGTATAGTATGTCATACAAAATGTGTTATCCTTAAATGCTAAAGAATTGTTTGTTTTAGGTGTGGGATTCCTACTTTTACCTCTCTGTGATTTTTATAAACCAGCCATGTCTCCAGCTTGAGATATTCTCTCCTTCTAAAAAGAAAAAAGTGTTAGAAAAGTAAGTATTTTTGCTACTAATTTATTTAAAAACATTTTACGAACTCTACACAGCTCCTCAAAACTTTCCTTACTTTTTTTCTTGATCATAAGGTACGGAGACATGAGAGTGATGATGGGATGCGAGATCTTTAGCATGTGGCAGAATTTAGGTAAGAAAATAGAAATATTTTCCTATTTGCTGATATAACTTCACAGCAATGTTTCACACATGGAAACATGTTTTCTTCAAACTGAAATTTATTTTTAAAATCGCTCGCTCAAGTTAGTCTAATGACTTCAATAACTATTTTTCTGTTAATATTCTCATGATTGGTTATGTAAAATAATAACTATCTACATCCCCTTGTTACCAAACAACTGATGTAGTAGTTTAATTGTAAATCTGACACAAATAGTGATGGAGGGATCCTGGCAATAGTTTACTAGAAATTGCTTCTGTTATGACACACATGTTAATTGATGGTTTAGAGCAGGATTATGCGATTCAAAGAACCCTGAGAATTGTGTTCAAAGCCAGGCTGCATTTCAGTCAGTGTTTCAGGCACCTGTAGCATCATTAACCCAACCTGACTTGTTTTTGTTTAGTTTTAATGGTAGCAAACTAATGTAGTGGCGGCATTAATCCAGCCCTGTGGTATCTGAATAACTGTTGTTTGGGGGGACTCTTCTTGTTTGTGCTTTAAGGTATGGTACAAGAAAACATTTCAGTCTTGTGCAAAACCAAACAGTGGCTGATTTGATTGTTAAAATGCATCCGCGTTTACAGGGGAGCACAAACTGAATTTTATCCCAGCCATGATTGGTCCTTTTCTGGAAGTAACGCTGGTGCCTCAGCCTGACCTGCGCAATGTGATGATCCCCATATTTCACGACATGATGGATTGGGAGCAGCGAAGGAGTGGCAGTTTTAAACAGGTATGAAGATGACGAGACAGATGCTAACAGTGCTTGGAAACAAAAAAAATTCTCTCCACAAATAATCCTCAACTTTGTAAAGATTTTACTGTATTTGTCTAGTAGTCTCACTTCAAAAAAATGTGAGAAAATGGCAACTGAAAGCTATAAATACTCAACAGACTGTATTTCATTTGCTTTTACTTTGTGCATTTTGCCAAATGGGTGAGAAAGTATACAGATGATTTATTGAAAATATGCATATATTTGATTACTACATTTAAATTGTTGTTAATGCACCACTTCATATTCCTTTGCCTGAGGTGTTCTCTTGATGCTTTGTGTGAAAGAAGTGGATGTTGTGATTGCATTATTGTAGTTTGGAGTGATTCTGGCCACCTGGTGGCAGAAAGAGGAACTTGCTCTTAAGGCAACTTTGTGCTTGAAGTGCCACAAGGCTCTGAAAAGCGCCTGCTGTGCCCCCTTCTGGAAAACAGAATTGCTTCCATTCCAGGCTTCTGTGAAGCTGCTTTATATCTTGCCAGTCTAGGGGTGCCAAACCTGTTCTATTAATTTCAAATAGGTGGAAATTTGTTGTTATTTTGTTCGTCATTACCTAATCTGAGAAAAGCACCCGAGCAATCACTAGTACGTATCATGTGAAGAAAAGAGTTATACAAATGAATAAAGCCAAAACCGGCTGGAACTATTAGTCTTTTATCCTTATGTTTTGGCAAGTTAAAATGGCACATTTATTATCTTAAAAACATTGTATTATACTCATACTATAGCAAGGTTACTAATTTTATTTGTAATTCAATAATTGTTTATATTAATAAGAAAAGCCACCTGGATGTGTGGATTAATATATTATTGGTCACATACCTCACAAATGAAATACCACTGGTACTCTGTTACTGATTCATCTTTGGATCTCTGCTTGTGTGTTATTAGCATTTCTTGCTGAGATTACGCTTTTTTCTGCACACACTCTTTATTGTTGTTAATGTTTTAAAAGCAGTAGGAGGGACTCCTGGCTCCTGGAAGTCAGTCTGGGCAGCCATATGTGGCACCACTGAGTGTGCTTTTATGTGATTTATGTTTCAGAAAACTAGTGGTTCTTAACAACTTTTCACTCTGTAGTGTGTTAATTGTATAAAACAAAAAAAGATACTTTCCTAAAATTGACAGCTGACTGATAAAAGTCAGGCCAGTGGGAGAGTGGCTCATTCCTGCTTTGATTTAGTTTTTACATTGTGACAATATAATGCTGAAGAGGGTTTCTTTCAACACTTAATGCTTGTCTATCTTTTTATACACTCAACATGTTATATGCCTGCACACCTTAGAACTGATCAGATATTCATGGCAACATGAACGCATCCGATACATACATGGTACATTTACATAATATTTTCATTCATCTGGTTACTAGGTGGAAGCCAAGCTGATAGACAAACTGGACAGCTTGATGTCTGAGGGCAAGGGAGATGAAACTTACCGTGAGCTTTTCAATAGCATGTAAGTAACAAAATGCTGCATTTTATCTTTATGAAATATTCCACTTGCTGTTGTGCCTAAAGCTTAGTATTCTATTATTTAACTAGGTTGTTTGTGTCTTTTTTGTGTGCAGTTGATAAGTTTATTGGAGGAATTTATACCCAGTCTCATTCCATTTTACAGCATATGGCTAATAGCAGTTCATCATTCCTGTTACATTTCCAATTATGTATTTTCATTGGTTTCTGCAAAATAGTAGTAATGTACCTGGGGAGAAAAAGTTATATAAACAATGAGTAATTGGAATAGAAAATTAAAATTGAACTGTTGCAGTGCTTCAGGATTTTACAGTGTGATAATTCACTCCTCATTGCATCAGATTTATCACCCAGCATGAATGAATCTGTGTATGAATGTGCGCATCTGCATGCTTATGTGGTTTTATTTATTATGTATATTATACTGTATATGTATGAAATAGATCTGATCACTGATAACAAAAGCCAGCGAGGATTGCTGAACTCCGTTCATAGATTCCAGTTCTTTAAAGAGCATAAATGAATCATAAATGGTTATGTGTAAGTACCTAAGGGTCCTAAATGACAAGTGTCACAACCCTTTCAGATAATCTTTTGAAAACAACTTTGTCCAGCACTGCTGGCACTTTTATGGTAACATGTTTCATAGCATTGTGGTATCACCATTTATAGAAAAACAGGCTGGTATGCTAATTTCATCAAAAGCCTGAGATCTTTTAGCTCATAATTTAATTAAAATTCAATTGGCATGACCAATGAAATGCAGTGTTGCCAAAGCAAAATACAGAAGAAATAACAATTAGTAAAAACATTTACAGATGTTCACAATAAAAAAGCATTATTATTAGACAATAACAGACGTTTTAAAAAAAACTTTTTTATTTAGAAGGCTCACTCTCTGTTCCTCAGCCTGTAACGTCTGTAAAGTGCTATCAAAGGCAATTACCATTTTGTATTTCTTTCTTAATTTTGTCTTTTAATGTGCTTGGAAAAATCATGAAATGCGCGTATTTCTGTCATACACATGCATACATATATCCATTTGTTTGGATCTGCTGTAGCTGTTTTTTAGCATGAGTAAAAGTTTCTGTTGTAGTTTTGAGTCTTTCTTCTTTACTGTTTTCTTTAACCAGTAGTTGTACTAACAATGTACTAACCTGTATGAGTGAGTGCTGACATTTAATAATCTAAAACTAATTTGTTCTACCAATGCTTCCTGGATTAGAATACCTCTTTTTGGCCCATATCCTAGGTAAGATATATTATTCTACACTCGTGTTGCTCAGTAAAACTAATAAGTGCTGCATTTTTTAAAATAATTTCTGATATACAGGCTGAGTGGAAATTTAATTGGTTATTGGAGAAAATTCATAAAAATAAACTGGGATTTCTCATGTATTTTAGTTTGCTGAAGAAGATTGAGAGGGAGACATGGAGAGAGAGTGGTATTTCCTTAATAGCCACAGTCACCAGGTTGATGGAGAGACTCCTAGATTACAGGTAAGATGTGAGCCTTTCTCTTCTCTCTTCCCAACCACTCATACTCATGTCACCTTACATGTTTCTGCACCCATCTCTTCCTGGAATCATTCCTATCATTGTATACTCACCCTCGCAAAGTTTGACTTCCTTTTCTCCATTCTCTTTTCTTGACTCTACCATTCTAGCCCCCTTCCAAGAACCTGTGTCAGTTTTGACCTCTCCCTGTTTTTTCCAGCACCTTTCTCCACACACTCCTACTACTTCTGAACACAATTTGCAAAGTCCACCTCTTCCTTACCAAATCTTTTCTAGAGAATTTCTAGTCCAGTGCTCTTCTGCCCAGACTATTGGGCGTCTTGGTGTTGGCAGGAAAGGTAGCATTCTAGATATCTGCTGTTCTCCTTGGCTTTTCTCTTCCTTGCTTTTCTTATGCCCACTGCATTATTCCACTTCACTCTCTTGCACCCTATTCCTACAAATTCAAAACAAATGCTGTCTTGCAAGCACTTTTCTTCTATTTTCAGTCTCTTATCAGAGTTGAGAGCATCCGAGATACACTTTCTGCTGTAATGCAAGAAATTAGACAAACATTCTTCCCTAAAATAACAAATCTAATCCCAGAATTCACAGTTGTTTATGTGATGTCTGTAAATGTTCAATAATATGCGTAAATGTTCTGTTAATTGTTTCCACTTTGGCAACAGACATGCCAGTAAAAATCCTTGTTTGAATCTCTTTCCCTGCAACCTCACTCAACGTGTCTGCTCCTCCTTTTCCAGTAGATTTTCTGAGCTGCCTTTCCATTCTCTCAGCTCCAGAGCTCCTTCATTCTTCACCCTTATCACCACGTTGCAGAAATAACACTAAAAATTAAGAACTGCTCAATCCCTGAACACCTTTCAGTACCTGATCAAGACTGCTCTCCTGCAGGTTGCAGAGCACCTCCAACCTCTGTTTTCCATCCTTCAATAGCTCTAATGCTGTGTTGCGCTAATATTATTTTAATTCAAACACAAAACATGAAGTAACTTGTTAAATGTGCTTCCTGACTTTAAACAGACTGCATATAGCTGGAGGGTAATTTCAGTAAAATTATGTATTTTGTTTTAATTCTTACCATTTAATTTCTTCATGTATTTTGAATTGCTTGTCCACTTTGCACTGTTGTTCCTCGAATGTACCCTTAATGTAATTTTTTGCACCTCCTTGAAGAAAGGCATCTTCTAAGCTATTAAGATTATTCCCTGTTGCACATTGGCATGTGACCTGAATTTGGAGCTCAAAGTGCTGCCTTTGCAGAATTTTCTTTCCAGTTTCAATTTAATATTTTCATCTTTGTGTTTTCTTCCCACGTACAGGGACTGCATGAAAGTGGGAGAAGTAGATGGCAAAAAGATTGGTTGCACAGTTAGTCTACTGGTCAGTATTGGCTCCCTTTCTTATTATCCTCAATTCTTTTCCTTACTTGTAGAACAATTTTAAGATTCAAACATTAAAAAGGGGATTAAGACAAACCTAGGGTTGGTAAGTGAAAAATCTAAAAAAAACTACAATTTTTACCATGTAAACAATAAAATGGCTTTTAAGACTTTTAAAACTTTTTTAGTTTCTCCTGAAGTACTAATCGTCAAATTGCAGATGACGGGCATTTTGTAATTGCATGTCTTTGGATTAAGAACCTATTAACGGTTAGAAGAAGAATTCATAGGTTTGAAGAAATGAACATAGAACACAGAAATTTTCTGTATAATAATACAGTAAGAGAATACAGAACTTTAGGCTACGCTTGTTTAAAGAAATACCTTTATGTCATTTTAATAAATGAGTTCAAAGGGTATGCAAGATAATTTTTATTTCACAGACACTGATGTTTGAAGAAGAGCCACTTGTATTATTATGTTATACACATATACTATACGATATTAAGGGTTAACCCAGACAACTTTTGTACACTTAGTAGTTAAACATGAACTCTGAATTACAAGTGGAAACTAAAATGTAATTTAGGATGGAGAATCGGAAATGCTTCTTATCATACAGAGTGTGGGTATCTGTACCAGGCTATTGAGACAAGTGTGAAGGCCTCCATTCTGCACTTTTAAGAAATGCCTAAACTTTATTAATATCACTTAGCTACTAAACTAATAAATGAGAATATGAGTGGCATCCTCTTGTTTATATCCCTTCTTCAGTTTAAGTTACTCCTTATGTTTTCTGTTTAGTTAGCATTATGCTTGGTTATGTCTGTGTGTGTTACAGTAATAAACTGTAACTGAATAGAGGATTACTAAAAACATTTTCTGTGTTTTCTTGGATACTGGTATATGAAATATGTTATTATAAGTATGTAGATGTACTTAACTGGTATATACAGGTACAGTATACTGGTTAAACTGCGCTAAACTGCAGTAAGTGGAGTAAAACGGATTGGTAGATTGAGTGAATAGGAAGATGAGCTTTGTGTGTAAGTCCAAAAGCATTAAAAAAATTCCAACAGTAGCAACAATTCAGCAGATGAGAATTATTTTAAAACAACATTTTACTGGTTGGAGATACATTGCATTCTTTTATTCATGCCTTGTGTTATTTTACAAGCTAAGAGGGTCAAGAGAGATTTACCAGTACAGTAGCTGTTTGTTTAGTTAACTGCACTGAGCCCAAAATTGTGTTCAGTATCAAGTGCGGTGTATTCAGGTCAGGATTATTGTGCTTGAATGAATGTCATGCTCTTATGATGTCACATGCAGGGCTCTTGGTGCCCCTTTGAGGCAAGTGAAACATTCTGCCCAGAATAAGATAATTTGTTGTGTAATAATTTATGTATGAATTGGACAAGGGTTAAGTAATCATGTTATTTTTGTGGTTAACGTAGGGCAGTCTTCAGTTGTTTAACAGGCAAATTGTATAACTCTGTGCCTGCCATTAAAAACACACAAATCCAGACAATGTTGCTCGTCACCCATATCTCCAAAGGTCAGGTTTAAACACCATTCCAAATTCCAAATCACAGCCCTTGTGAAACAACAGCACCCAGATTCCAGAGGAATTCATTTTATTTGACCCATTTAAGGTCAGTGTGACATTTGACTTTAACACCTTACCTGGTATTTGAATACTTTTTTTTTTGTTTTCCAGAATTTTTACAAAACAGAACTGAACAAGGAAGAAATGTACATACGCTATATACATAAATTGTATGATCTTCATTTGAAAGCACAGAACTACACAGGTAAAGTTTTTTTTAAATAAAATAAATGGTGATGGCGTTTACTTCTAACAAGTAATCTAAATCTTTATTAATTCATAATGTGTGTAGTGTATTTGTTAAGGTTGTTGTACAATAGTCAACTCCAATCTCAGAAATCCAGTGCAAGTGTCAGTTGCATCAGACATTTATTATTAATTGAATTGTTGAATTACATGCACCTAAATGGCTTAAATGTAATAAATACTATTATAGCTTTTTAATTTACCTAAGTACTGTTGAATTAAACATGCAATTAAATTGATTTAATTCAGTTTTAAATTGTATTAAATATGTGTAAGAACTAATCCAAAACTGTGAATATTGAGAACTGCAGGTGGTGTTCACTGTTGTAGGTCATAGGAGGTTTTCTTAACCAAAATGACTGTCTGCTATTTTACAGAGGCTGCCTACACACTGCTGCTGTATGACGAGCTTTTGGAGTGGTCTGACAGGCCTCTCAGAGAGTTTCTGAACTACCCTATGCAAACTGAGTGGCAGAGAAAGGAATATCTACACCTCACCATCATTCAGAATTTTGATAGAGGAAAAGTAAGTCATTTTAGTTTCTCTTTTGCATCTGTTGTATAATCATACAAAAAATGCCCTGAGGTAAACAGCAGTGTCCTTGAGTTAGAGGATGGACTGCAGTGACTGAAAACACAGCAGTTACAATATTCCTCTGCCATTCAACTGTTCTACAGGAAGAAATATGAAACGCAGGACTATATTGGAAACAGAAGTATTCTTTTAATGAAGAGATGTTACTTCCATCCATTTGCACTCCGCTTTTCCTGGTGAGGATCGGTTGCAGCAAGCCAAGTAGATCAGCCCAGACTTCCATGTCCCTGGCAACAGATTCCAGGGTTCTCCTCCTGGGGGATCCACAGGTGCTCCCAAGCCAGCCGAGAGATATAATCCCCCAGCGTGTCCGGGGTCAGCCCAGCAGCCCTGCGGAGAAACCTAATTTCTTCCGCTTGTATCTGCAATCTCGTTCTTTTGGTCATTACCCCACAGCTCATGATCATACTGTAGGTGAGGACAGGGACATAGATCGACCAGTAAAACTAGAGACTTGTCTCCAAAGTCAGCTCAAATTCACCCTGCCCGGGACAGGGTTACCGGGACCTGCTCTTGGAGCCAAGCCCCGAGGTGGCATTCGCCAGCAAGTGCCTGGTGGCAGGGCAGCCCCAATAACCCAGCTGGGCTCAGCCCGAAAAGGCAATGCGGGGCCGTCTGACCACCTGCAAAACGAAGGGTGAGGGTCAGGTGCGATGCCAGGCTAGTGGCATGCAAAAGTGGAAAGGACCTAGGCGAGATGTAACTTGTGTATAATATTTGACTATATTCAATAAAGTATTCAGACCTTTCCTGTGTTGTAAAAGTTTAATTACAGAATGGTGCAAACACAATTTCTAATTCATAATTTATTCAAAACCCAGCAGCATGGTGGCACAGTGGTTAGCATTGCTGCCTCTCATAGGTGGGGCCCTGAGTTACTGTAGGTAATGGATCTGGGATGCTATCTGTGTGGAGTTCGTTTGTTTTCCCCGTGTTCACATCGGTTTCCTCTGGGTGGTTTAGTTCTCTCTCACAATCCAAAGACTATTAGGAGAATTCATTTCTGGAAAAACTGGCCCTGCCGTGCATGTGAGGGTAAGTGTCTGCCCTGTGATGGATTGGGGTCAGCAAAAACAGCAAAAGGCAAAAATGGGTATTCATACCCACGAAATCAATATTTGGTAGAAGCACCTTTGATTACAATTACAGCCACAAGTCTTTTAGGATTTCTACCAACTTTGCACACCAGCTAGTGGCAATTTTTGCCCATACATCTTAAAGGAATTTGCTTAAACTGTTTCATATTGCTTGGGGATCATTTATGGATACATTTTTCAAGTTTTCTAAAGATCTTCAGTGGTATTCATGTTAAGACTTTGACTGTGGCACTCAAGGACATTTACTTTCTTACTCTTAAATATTTATTTGGCTTTGTGTATTGGGTCATTGCTGAAAGGTAATGTTTTGTCCCAGTTTTATGTCTTAAGCAGGTTTTCCTCTATGATATGCCAGAACTTGCTCCATCTGTATTCACATCAGTCTTGATAAATTTCCCAGTCCCTGCTGATTAAAAAGGAGAGCTATAACATAATGCTGCTTGACAAGAGGGATGGTGTTGAGTTTGTGGTGCATTATGCTGGGTTTGCATCAGATGGAAAGCTTAATTTAGACCAAAAATTTCCCATTTTTATCTCGTCTAAGAAAACCTTTGCCACATGTTTGCAGTTTCATGTAAATGCATTGTTACAAACTCCATGTGTAATTTAAAATTGGTTTTCCACTTTGTCAGAGAAGCCAGCTGTTTGGAATGACTGGGATATTGTTGACTCGTTTTTTTATTGTTGACTCTAATTTTCTCCCATCTCAGCCATTGAACTCAGTAGTCCTTTTAAAGTCAACATTGGCCTCACTTTGGTATCCCTAACCCGTTTCCTCCTTTCTCAGCTGCTTAGTTTGGAGGGACAGCCTGATCTAGGCAGTGTCGGGGTGTGTCCCACTTGTTTAATGATATTAAGAATCTTTGAATTCTCCTTCTCCCTTCTGATTTGTCTGTGATTAATACAGCTTTATCCCCCAGATGTTTTCAAACCTCCTTAGTCTTCGTGGTTGAATGTCTGCTTGAAATTTACTTCCAGACTGAGGGACTTTACAGAGAGAAGTGTATTTATTCTGAAATCATTTGAGCCACTATTTATGCAAACAATAACCACTCAATTAATAGTGTAGCTTATTAAGGTAATGCACCAAAATTAATTTAGGATTGTCACAGCAATCACAACTTTTCCATTTTGCTTTCATATTAATTTTCTATTTACTTCTTACTTTTTTCTTTTGTTTTCTTTTTTGCTTTGAATGTATAAAATAAGTTGTGTGTATATAAGTATGCTAATTCCAAGTATTATGACAAATGTTAAGGGTCTGAATGCTTTTGGAAGTCACTGTATACAAAAAGTACAAATTAAACGTAAACCTCAGTGTTTAACCAGCACTTTGAAGATCATTAAATTCACAAGTAATGATTTTTGCATTTTCCTAAGGATTTTTGTTTAATAGTGCCAATAGAAAATTGCACCGATTCTTTAAAAGCTAAATAGGAACAAGTGTAGCAGTGTTTGGATGTGAAAACAGAGAAAATGCTTTTGATTATAACTTAACTTTGAAATAAAGTATGCATCAAAATATGTGCTTCTTTCTGTTGCAAGCACTGATGTACTAAATTTGCCATTATTTATTGCATGCTTTATAGTCTCATTTTCATGCATGTGGTATTGTTAATGCATTACACCTATTTCATTCACTAGTGTGTAAAAAGCCCTTGATATATGTAACCCAATTGTTCATTGTGTTCATAAGTTATGTCTTCTTGCAGTGTTGGGAGAATGGCATCATCCTTTGCAGGGAACTTGCAGATCAGTATGAGACCTACTATGACTACAGGAATCTTAGCAAAATGAGGGTAAGTGGGAATTTTTAACTGTGTGCTTGTGCTCTGTTTTTTTTTCTTATGTGTTAAAATGTTGAAAAGTCTAGTAAAAATTTAATATTCTTGTAAGACATGCGGGTGATATTTGAAGACTGGCAAATCATAAATGATGAATTGCATTCTATTATGATCTTCAAACTATATGTCAAGTCCCTTTGAAAACATATACCGACTATATTATATACATTAAGGTTTCTTTAATAATAAATTGTATGTTTTTGTACTATAGAAATACACAGTGATATTTTCTCATAACTCAAAGTTACTGTAGTTTTATGGCATTTTATCAAATAAAGCACAAAAGAGTTGTTCACCAAGGACAAACATTTCTAATTTTGTCTTCTCTTTTACTGAAAGATGATGGAGGCTTCACTGTATGACAAAATAATGGATCAGCAGCGTCTGGAGCCTGAGTTTTTCAGAGTTGGGTTCTATGGCAAGAAGTTTCCTTTCTTTTTGCGGGTAAGTCTTCAAACCTCAAAAAGTATTTTGTTCTTTACTCTTTATTTGCAAAATACGTTTTTTTATTAACTTGAATACACCCTTTTCCCCAGTGCAGAGAGAATGATGGCAAGATTCTTTTTAAAAAATACTTTATTTACCTTGTACTGTATCTAAAGACTTAATAAAGAATTTTATCATGTTCACGGTTGCCTAGGCCACCCTCAGCAATCATCCACACAAACTGAACTGCAACCAAACTCGCTGCATCACCTGTAATTATATATTCAAGGCCCCTCTGGACAATTCTGGATTACCCAGATGACATCATGTATTTCCAGCAACCTTATTTACTGCATTTCTTGCAGAAAACGCTCAGCTATTTACATTGGTGAGACAGGAAGAAGACTGGGAGGCCATTTTTAGGAACATGCCAGGGCTGTGAGGATCGAAGTTCTCTCCAGTCCCATATTTTCCCATTTAACCTCAAATGACCATGATCATACTGATCTCTCCATCTCCGTCCTCACAGAGGGGTTTCAGAACTCCTGTTGCAGAAAGACATATAAAACCAAAATTATCCTTTATATATGATCACACCTTCCCCCTTTGCTTAATGATGGACTCGTCTCCTTCTGTTTCTGTAAATTTTTATTTACAGGTTTTGACTTCACACCTCTCTTCTAGTTCTCCCAGATTGTCGATGCTCCTGCCTCCTCTTAACTACCGTGTCTTTTCTTCTCCCATCCTTCATTAACTGCCCTCTTTCCTTCACACCTGAAGAAGGTTTCACAGCCAAAATGTTGTCTCTTTTCTTTAAGCATGTAATAAACCTTTACCTGATCCTTTGCATTTTATAATGATACCTCTTCTGAGGCATAATATTTAACTTATATTTCCAAAACACAACTTGTATAGGTTGTATACAGTACATTTGCAGCAAGCACCAAACTAATCCACTAGATGGCATCTTCAACCATTTTTAGCTCTGATGTTGAAGGCTTTTGAAGTATCAGTTATTGTGCTACCCCTTGGCCAGCATTTGCTTTGTGAAAGCATAAAAAAATGTACCTCTTTATGTATTGTTTATACTGTATATTTTGTAGCCTCCATGCTGTTTTGTGCCTTTCCTGAAATGCATACTGGTCTACATTTGACTAATTCCTTAGTCAACTAAAAATATTATCTGTTTAGCTGATGCCATTATCTGTAATTTTCAGTTGCGTGCAAAGAGTACAATAAGCACACAAATATGTGTATATGTAATACAATCAAACAACATAATAAATATTATATATAACAAATCACTGGCTTTAAAATGTATCAGTGATCCGTGCAGGAAAAAGGACCATACAGTATTAATGTACCCCTTCAAATTGTTCTGACTGTTTTTAGAGATTCTTCTACAGTATGAATTGTCAAGACAATTCTTCTACTAAACAGTATGACTGGGTATACAGTCAGAAGTGTGTAATTAACATTTAGAGTTTTACAGAGCTTTAGTAAATCTTCATTTAGAATATTGTGGTGAGACCTAAAACCTGGGATTCTCCAAGAAATTGCCAGATGAAATTTTATTTTCATGTAGCTATTGAATGACCAAGTAAGATGTTGTGAATAGCTTCCTCTTGTTATTCAGCCTTTTGTAAATTCTTACATTCTTGTGATTCAAATGCAATAATAAAGAATTTATTTTATTTTATTCTAATCAAAAGTGTAGAAGTGCAGGGTGCTAGTAATATAGTAATTGTAATGTAAGTAGAGAAGAAAGGACCATTCAACCTCACAGAGTACAGGGCAATACAGATAAGTGCCCATACAGGGTAAATATGGTGAAGTCAAGTGAACACTACAAGTAGTAGTACTACATATAAGCAGGCTTTCAAGTGTGGGTAGCCACAGTGTAGTTACTGGGAAATAATGACAAAAAACAAGCAGTCTTGGCAGTGGATTTAAAGACTAAGGTTTAGTACAGTTCTGATCTCTGTAGATAGGTCTTTTCACCAGAGAGGGTCAAGATTAGTGAAGATGAGACCAGTTGGTTATGGATTTTAAAAGCTTTAGGGAGCCATTGAAGTGAATAGAGTAGTGGGATGGCATGAGAGGAACAGAGAATATCAAAGATAGAAGAGAGGACAGGCAAAGAGTTATAGATGAGCTGGCATGGATAACTAAGCAGAAGAAGGGAAGAAGGATAAGAGGGAGCTGCAGTAGTCTATGCAGAACAGAACAAGAGCCCTCACTACACTATACAGCTGCTGTAGGAATCTGAACCAGAGCTCACACTAGGTACCGGGCTCAGCTTAAACTACTGCTGTAGGAATCTGAACCAGAGCCCAAACTAGGTACCGGGCTCAGCTTAAACTACTGCTGTAGGAATCAGAACCAGAGCCCACACTAGGTACCGGGCTCAACTTAGACTACTGCTGTAGGAATCGGAACCACAGCCCACACTAGGTAACAGGGAGGTTGCTTATGCTGTATGTAGTACAAGTAAGCAGTGTTTCCACCTGTTTCCTAGGGTTTCTTCTATAAGCAGCCTTTCAAGTGTGGGTAGCCACAGTGCAGTTACTGGGAAGAAATGACAAAAAAACAAGCAGTCTCAACAGTGGATTTTAAGGATAAGGTTTAGTACAGTTCTGATCTCTGTAGATAGGTCTTTTTTCACCAGAGAGTCCCTTAATTACTGCACTGGGAATCAGAAACAGAGCCCACAATAGGAATCCAGCTCTGCCTAGACTACTGCTCTGGGAATCAGAACTAGAGCCTGCATTAGGAGCTGTGTGGGACATTTTGTTAGGGTGGGCTGTGTCCCATTGCAGTCCAGTGTGGGAAGGGGTCAAGGACGACTCTGAGCTTTCTGACAGTAGCTGAAGGGAAGAGGGAGTGGAGCCAAGTGAAATGGAGATGTGGTGATTGATGCAAGGGGAGGAAAGAGCAGAGTAGACAAGATGGCAGAGAGATATGTGGTGAAGCAGGGTGGTTACTGTGGGATGGAAGGGCAGTTTTCAGTGTTATCAGCATGGAGGTAGGAAGAGAAGCCATTTGTGGGGATCAAAGGACCCAAGATGAGGGTGTAGAGAGAAAAGAATTATACAAGTCAGAAAGTCATTTCAAAGGATTTTACACAAGGGATTCTCTTCATATCTTAGAAATCCACATTGTTCAGTCTTTTAACAGACAGCATACTTGTTACACAGCTGTTTCTTTTTCTGTTTTAATATATTATTATATGATTTTACAGAATCAGCATTGTTTGGAGGTCTTCTGGGCAATATGAAAATATTGCACGTTATTGACATAAGCACTTAAGGCACCTTCTCTCAATCTTTTACAGAACAAAGAGTTTGTTTGCCGTGGACATGACTATGAGAGACTGGAGGCTTTCCAGCAACGCATGCTGAATGAGTTCCCCCATGCAATCGCCATGCAGCATGTAAATCAGCCAGATGAGACCATCTTTCAGGCAGAAGCCCAGTGTATCCAGATCACTACTAGAGCCCCAGTACAATCAAGGGTTTAGCTGGTTACATTCTCAGAACGAAGTAATGTATTGTGACTGGTTTTGAAGTATGCTCTAGTTTCTAAGACAATAACTTTGGGAAGGTGATTTTTCTGGATCAGTTCTTTTGGCTTTACAATATTCCAGGTAATATTTTGACATGCTTCAGAAGGAAAGTAAAAGGCAGTGAAGAGAGCGTAATGCCACAAAAGAAGAAGATTTGTGTTATTAGTAGTGTATATGGTTGCTTGGTACAGTATACTGTATCTACGTGATACTCAATGTGATTTAAACACTTTTTGCCATAAAGCCACTGTTTTTGCATTATTATTGCTAAACTGAAATGATCACCATATCTAGTTCACCTTTTATGCTGTCATTAGCACAGGCAAGAGTCAATCAGAACAGTTGGATCAAATTTATGTGGAAAAAGTTTTGGCAGACACCAATATTGCAGTATAAAGCAATAACTGAATGTGATTATACTGAGTTTTAGAGTTTTAAAAAAAGTATAATAGTACTTAATCCTGTGCAATGAAAGATGTTGTAATGCACAACCCAAAATTAAAAAAGATTTGAATACATTTTAGGCATAAGTCCATTATGGTAATACAAGCAGACTGCCGTGATGGCTGTAGAAAAATAGATGTGCTTTGGGTGCAGAAGTGTTCCCCTGAGTGCATTTACAGCAGACAAGTGTGGTCTAATAGCATTAACATAGTAGTTTGTTATCCTTGTTCACTGTAAATCGTTTAACTTATGTCACAGGGGTCTTACAGCATCCAAGTCATATTTATGTTTTGTGAATATTTAGGGTAGCATGATGTAACATCTGATTTAATGCTCAGCTTCCACTCCTTATGCCTTGATATCTCTGTGTGGAAAGTGAATAACACATTCTGCTGCAGAACAAAGAAGAAGCTGACTTTGAGGAATGTTTTAACACTTGTGAACTATCTCAAAGTCACAGCCCCTTGACTGAATGCGTGCAGATTTGCAGATCTATGCTGTAAGTCCCATCCCAGAGAGCCAAGATGTGCTGCAGAGGGATGGAGTTCCAGACAACATTAAGAGTTTCTATAAAGTCAACCACATCTGGAGATTCAGATATGACAGACCTTTCCATAAAGGCACAAAGGATAAGGAAAATGAATTTAAGGTATGGTACCAAATGCTGTCCCATACAAAATGCTGAATCAAAGCTTGCTACCTTATACTTCACACACACACATTTGTTTAAGTACCTTGTCCCTTCATTATTAAAAGTCAATTAAAAGATTAAATTAATATAAGTTGTTAAATGAAGGAAGTTGTTTTTTTAATCCTGGTTTACATAACTGAAATTCCTCAAAAACAAGAGTAATGTGCAATAAGCAGCAAACTTACATTTACTAGCAATAGCTGTAAAAATCATTTTCTGTGCATATGATGGCATACAGTATCAGGAGCTTTGTATACTTATTTAGGTTATTCGATGTCTGCATCTGGAGGCTCCCAATAGCAGTTAAAACACGTGTGAATAGAATGCACAGAGGACACAGCCTGCAGTGTGGGTTTTGATGTGCTTTCCTGTTCTTGTGATTGCAGAGCTTGTGGGTCGAGAGAACCACGCTCACTCTCGTGCAGAGCCTCCCTGGCATCTCACGGTGGTTTGAGGTGGAGAAGCGAGAGCTGGTGAGTGCAGCCTTTAAAGGCACAGGTTTCCTTCCGTGTTCATGCCTTGTGACTGTGTTAACAAGTTTTGCCTTACCTGAGAATGACAGTTCTAAAACAGAGCACCAGCAGGAAAAGTGTTTAGCTCAGCACTTTCCTTTCAATATGGAAAATTGTGTGTGTGCAAAAATGTGCAGCTTGTGCAAATAAAGCTTTTTTTATATTCAGATGTGAAGTATTAAAAATTCAGACACCATACTGGACACAGGATGCAGGATACAGGAAACAACACCACAAGCATGGCAGGTGATAGTGATATGAACGCAAGACACTGCTAGTAACAGCATGCACAACTAAATGAAAAGAAAAGAGAAAAAATATTTACTAGAGATATTGCTCTATTTCATTTAAAAGTAGAGAAAATAAAATAGAATTGGAGACTGCTTCAGATAAAAAATGTCCACATATAAGCATGCGTCGGTTGTAAACAAACAAGTAAATGTTTATTTCATGCTGGAAAGAGAAAAAAGGAAATACAGCGTTTTCTTTTTGCTGTGGAGGCTCCACATCTGAAATGATGTATTTCTTTTCTTCTTTTTTCAGCATGGAATAAACCTTTATAATATGAGTTATATTTTAAATTTATTCATGGTTAATTTCATGACTTTGGAATCTATCTGTTCATATCTTCAAAACTTTGCTCACTAAAAAAAATCACAACCTAGTAATAAAACCCCATTTTAGATTTGAATTAGCATAACGAACATAAGTGAAACTGACCTGCCTATTAATATGTTCCTATGTTTGCATTAACTTCCTATCCATTGATGCTGAGGGGTACATGATTATTGAAACTGTCCGTTTAATGATGATGCAAAACAAGAATGTGTTGCTCTGATGTTGACAGGAGGCTTCACAGATTTAAAAAAATCAGAAAACCATACATTTTATACAGAAAATATTGATAAATAATGGACACATTTACATTTATGTAGCAATTCTGATTAAAAAACAGTTCACTAAACAGTTAGGTTACAGATGAGGAGAAGAAATATATAGCCTAGATACTGTACATCTCCATTTCTACACCACAGAACAAGTAAGTTTACATAAATTAGAAGTAAATCACTGCATGTAATTGATAGTCTACTGTGTGCCCTTGGGTGTAAAACCACAATGATCTATTTAAGTCATTAATGGTGGTCACTGCCAGGAATTTGGTGCTTTTTTCCCTGCTCTTTGAACTTTTTGACTACAGTGTCGACTCACATTGTGATAAATTCCTGTAAGGGCCCTTGTGTTTCTGGGTCTTTTTCTACATCTTTTAACCCTGCTGTCTGGTTTGGCTATCTACTGAAGTGTGTTTGCTATTTCATAAGTGCTGATGGTTGGGCCACCTCTTCACACTTGTTTGTACCAACATCACCGCACTTATTTGTACCAGCAGGTCTCTCAACTCAAAACAGCGTCCTTGTTCAGGAATACTAGCGGTAATTGTAGACCTGTTGTGACATTTTAAAAGCATTTTTTTTAAAAGTACATGGGGAAAAAAAATAAAAAAACACTGCCGAACAGAGAAAAAAGTTATACATTAAGTAGAAAATACAATAAAACTAATTTGGAAAGCTTAAAAGATCATTTCTGATACAAATGACTTGGTAAAGCCTTAAAGCAAGTGTTTACATTATTTTTATGTTTGGTTTGTCTTGGTTGGTATTAAGTGGTATCATTGTCATCCTTCATTTAGTTGTTTATATTCTGAGAAAACATACATAGCTGGTCTATTTCATTTTTTAAAGCCTATTGTGCCTCACTCAAGTTTTTATAAAAGGCTGTTTGGCTGTCCGTTTTCATTATGAATAAAGGATTTTCACAGTAAGATCAACAAATTAAAAAACCTGTTTTCTGTAGAGTAAGTGTCAGAAGTGATTTATATTTTCTACATGTTTCTTGGTTTTTGTTGTTTAACAATTAATCAGTCCTTTCCCATAGCTGTGAAAAGTCCAGAATGATTTTACATCAGACTTTACCTGTGTTGAAGAGGCTCTTGTGTTTACAAAAGAATGAATAAAGATCAGTGAAGGAGGCTCGGTTGTGTTTTTCAGATTGAGATGAGCCCTTTGGAAAATGCTATTGAGGTAATAGAGAATAAAAACCTGCAGCTGAGAACACTCATTAGTCAGTGTCAGGCTCGACAAATGCAGAATATCAACCCCCTCACAATGTGCCTGAACGGAGTCATCGATGCTGCTGTCAATGGAGGTCTTGCCAGATACCAAGAGGTAATGCCGTTGCAATAAACTCATAACATTTATGGATATGCTAGTACCACTGACGACTAGAACAAGGGGTAATGGAGGACTGTATATAACCCATTCCAGGATAGACCTTCTGATTATATAAACGGAAGACCAGATCGGGGCTGTTGCCCTAACATTGTAGTTTGTGAGCTCGAGTCTTTAAAAATTGCTTAGCAACTGCACATTCTGTACTGCAAATTGTGATATGTATTTTTATCCAAGATTTTAAGAAAATCAGTCGGAAGCCTGCCACATTTATAGGGGTCACCTCACTGCCTGCTTGCCTCCCACAATTTTTACCAGGTGATTATTCAGTGCCGCTCTGAGAATCACAGTAGGCAGTAAAGTGGATTTCAATGCCACCAGCAAACTGGATTGTTAATCAGATCACTATAATACACATTTAAATGTTCTGTTGATGAAAGTTGCATGAATCCGACTGCATTATTCACAGTAGCATTTTTATCTGTCTTAGGGAATATTATTTTATATAATTTTGCATTTTTAATATTGGAAAAGTCATTGTTCCCTATAGTGATCTTTTGAATTCCAGTAAGTTGACAGTTTTCAGACATTAGTGGCATATGTCGATCATCATGTGCCAGTGAGTAAATATTGATTTTACTTGAACATTGTTTTGTTTCAAGCCAGTAAAATAATTTTTGGATTGTACTGGAGCTAACAGGATTTAGTTCATTTTTGTTTATTACACTTTTTTTGTTTTAGATTAAGAGAAAACAGTTAAGTATAATGTAGGAAAATGTGCTTGCCAGGATAGGCTTTGGTTTTCCACAACACAGTACAGTAATGGATAAAGTGGTTAGAAAATGGGTGAATGGAAAAAAATATTTTTCTTTTTTTTTGTCTCCTATGCTGGTATATTTGAACTGCATCAGTGTAGTCCAATGCACAAACAAGGAATTTAGAGTTATCTTTCTACTTTTGACTTTTTCTATCATTGAATATCCTTCTTATAAATTTAATGTAATCCTGTCAGTTCCTCTCGTATTTTTCTCTGTTAATTTGAAACCCTATTTGGCTCTTACAGTCTTATGTATACTTTTTAAAGATTAGAGATTTTTTAGGAGCTACAGTGACTTTAATTAATCCATTTTGATATGCTTATTTTCAAGTCTTCTGAACATCATTATTAATTTTCTATTTAAATGTTCCTAGTGCTGAAATCTGGTTAATAGTCATTCTTAAAATTAAAGCATTAATACTTCAGTGCACATCAATTAAGCTGTGAGTTCCGAAAACCAAAGTGGAGATATTGCTTTAACAATGCTTTTTTCATTATCACATTTAATCCTTTTCTTCAAAGCTGTTACAGCCTTTTAAATTCTCTGGGGCGGTTTTGAATCTGTTTTGAAAAACAATGTAAGTGGCATAAACCGTACAATTACAGCCAAAAGATTCATACAAGTCATTCCCTAAATCAAAATGAGTCAATGGTTTTAAATTAGTCAGTGAAAACTGCAATGAGCACAGTAGTTCCTCTTTGTTAACCTATTAAAGCATTATTGTTTTTCATTGAATGTCATCTCCTAAAGCCTGCTAAGTGACACAAAGCACTGACCTTGGGAGAAATGTCCGACACTTGAATGGCTTATCCTTAGTGACATTCATTTTGCTGAATTCTTACTATGGAACAATTTAGATATTGGTGGTTATTAAAACAGGAGATTCAGTCCTTCACTATGTTCATAGTTCCTCAGATAAATCCCTTGTATAATACACTGTGCAAAGTATTACATCTTTGGGAACATGAGCCTTGAATACTGAACAATAAATCTTTGTAAAGCCTTCTTCGGGTTTTTTTTTTCAGGAAAAGAAGGCACTATTCAAATGTTTTCTTTGTTGTGCATTCCGCTGTACTTTTTTAAGTTTTAGGATGATAAAAACGTGTTAAGGGGGGTTAACTAGTGATGGCAGAGCAGATTTTATCCAGAGTTGTAGGAGGCTGCATTCTATCATTCTGTCTGGCAGCAAAATAAAAATCCTAAAAATACGAGGAATATTGTATTCTATTATGGTATCACTACAGAAATGAATACATAATTTTGTCTGCATTTTGCGAATATGTAAAGACACATGTAGAAAGTACTGAATTATTTTGTCAGGTGTTACTAACTGTATATGCAGACCTTGACTAAGTGACGCATTAAAGGATACATTACATGTTAAGCAAATCATCTGTTCGGCTCGTAACTGTGCTGCACTACATACTGTAATTTTTCACAGGCATTCTTTGTAAAGGACTACATAATAAATCATCCTGAGGATGGAGAAAAGATTGGCCGGCTCAGAGAGCTCATGTTTGAACAGGTAAGTGCACAAATAACTCCTGTCTACACATCTTCTAATTATAAAAACAGAAGAAATGTATTTGGGAACAGACAATTTTATCTGTGAAAGTCACACCTATTTTTACTTTTTAAGGCACACATACTGGAATATGGGTTGGCTGTGCATGAAAAATTTGTTCCTCAGGACATGCGACCTCTACATAAAAAGTTGGTTGATCAGTTTCATCTGATGAAAACAAGCTTGGGAATACAGGTAACTGATCTCTTCTGCTTATTTTTTTTTAATTTATTGAAGTGCAAGGATGCTGTAGGCAAGAAAGAAGGAATTATAAATACCAGAAAACAAATATTTGTGTTGAAGATTTAAAAGACTAATGTGTACAAAATATATAATTGTTCAATGGTGTCAGTCTATTTTTCTCTTTGTAGAATGAGGGTACTGAGACATCATATATGTTAGAAGTAATATTGACAAACAAAAGAAGGACAATGCTCAGGTCTAATGGATTAAATAAAATAGTTGCTAACAATGTATTTTATGGCTTGTAGGAAAGGCAACTGTTAGATTTTTCACTTCCACACCTTTTTAAGTGAGCAACACAATCTGGAACACGTGCACCATTATGTCTCCAAACTTCAGTCAAGTCTGTCTAGGGCAGAACAACATTGCACAACGTTGCAGTCTTCCAGCATGCGTGTGATCCTCATTCAGACAGTAAGCTGCAGTCTGTCTGCTGATGCGGGAGGAATGTCTTCCTGGAATTCCTGTGCTGTAACCAACATTATGCAGAGGGATCAGATGGATGCAATGGTCTTGAGCCAGTGTGATGACACACTATCTACTAGAATGTAGCCTATTTATTCCATAACTGTTTTCTAGTTTCTCAAGACTAGTCTTCTGACTGTTGAAGTAGAGAATTTCAATTTCTAGCCAGCTTCTCTGAAGAGAATGTGCCTTCAGTCATGCCGATAGCAACGAGGTGATCTTTATTATAAAAGCAGGGAATAGTCGTAACTTTTGCTGTTGTTACATTAAATAGTCATGATTTTTTAATTGCTACAGTATGTATTCAGATTTTTCATCAAAACTCATTTTGGAAATTTAAACACACCACAAATACCAAAGATGGAGCACTTGGAGGTTTAATAAAATCACCTGACTTGATAAGTATTTTGTTATTACAAGGATCAATACTACTCAAATCAACAGTCATTTCTTCTCATTGCAATATGTATTTTTTTTTAATGTTCATGGTGAGATATTCATGTAAAATTTACACTTTTGTGTTTGATAATTTCGGAAATGAATCAGTGTAAATTTTACATTATATTGAAACTCTTCTAAATGTCTCTTTCCTTTGGCTACTTAGGATTTCCCGGCCTATGTACGTGCAAGCCCTATTCATTTCACCAATGGTAGTCCACGTATATGCAGGAATTCAGTGCCTAACGCCATAAGCCCAGATGGTGCTAGAGTCATAGCAAGGCGCAGGTAAGTTTCAGTACAATATTCTTCAGCCTCATTGACAGGATACATTGACGAAGACAGTTGTAGGATAGTGTCCATTAGTTATTGATGTGTTCTGAAATAATTGTTTAAACATCTAAGAAGGTTTACAGAATCTATTTCTTAGTTTTGTTTCTTTTTTATTTACTTGGTGGCTCTATGAAAATATTGTGCTTCTGAATTGATCTGTTGAATTTATATATGTGCTTTGTTGCATATTGTCCCATTCCTCCCAGAAGCATTGGAAGGTGCATTCAGTTCTATCTCCCTGCTTTTCTGGTCAAACAAAAGCAGTGAGATATTGCTTAGGCTTTAGCCTAGAGATTTGTGTGCTTTAATGTTTTAAGTTGTATAAATGGGGGATTTATACAAGATTTATGAGGATAAATGTTCTGCTTCCTAAAATAGTTACAAAAAAATCTAAACCACAGATTTACAGTATGTATGGTTTATTCTTATATTTACATCAATTAAGAGAGACATTCCTTAAGTGGGAAAACCTTTTCTGATTTAATTATTTTAGCCCCCTAAGCTACCCAGCTGTCAACAGATACTCTTCATCGTCACTGTCATCTCAAGCCTCTAATGAAGTCAGTAACATCACTGGACAGTCAGAGAGTTCTGATGAAGTCTTCAACATGCAGGTAAAACTTATAGTAGGAAGGAGGGATTATCAATTTTTTTTGTTTTATACTTATCTGTTTTTCTGTATTTACAATATGCAATTACACTCCCTGGTTTCTACAAGACTTAGCAAATTTGACTTTATGTAAAAACATGCCGTGGGTCCCATAATAGCATTTTCTAGGTAAGGAGAGTTTAAGTTACATGTGTAAAGGGCAAGTACAGTAGTGTAACAAGTTCCTTTGCAGATGAATAGCACAGAGCGAGTGTGATGTGTCAGCACCACACTTTATTTTTACTTGTGGTGTGGTCTGCATATTATCTTACATTTTTGCACTCAAAATAACCCATACTGCAGTCATGTCAAGGAAGCAGCCATGTAATTTTATTTCTCATGTATTTTATTTTGTGTTTAATTATTGCACAGTACACCGTAGAGTAATGAAATGTACAGTTTTTTAAAATTCATTAAAAGGCATTTCTTATTTTACTTTACTGTATATTTTGAAGTGTATGCTATAACTGGTGTTTCAAATATTTTTTTTTATTCATCATTATTTAATTTTTCTCCCAATATATAAATGAAAGAGGTTTCCTCTCTCTACATCATGGACTGCTATCCGCTGCTACATTCTCTCTCTTGCTCTCTGCCCCCCTCCATCATTAGCAGCACACCTGTTAACCATAAAAGGACAACACACCCTGAGTGAGCCTGTAATCCTGCTCTCCTGTCCCTCCTTCCTCACTCTCAAACACAGCTGGGGTGAATAAGTGAGGATCATTGCAGTATCATGAACAGTAGTTCTCTCAAAAGCTAGGGAAGTGTCCCTTTCAACTTTCCTGAGATTCGGGTTACGTAAAGATTCGAGGAACTGATTTAAAAGGCAAATAAAAAGAAAAGAATGGATACAAGTTGGGCTAGTCCAATGTTGACATTTTACAAATATTTTTTGTAACCCCGAGACTGGGTGTACCAAATGACTGTGTCTGCATGTGATATTATTTTTTTGTTTTTTAGCCAAGTCCATCTACCTCAAGCTTAAGTTCGACACATTCTGCCTCTCCGAATGTGACCAGTTCTGCACCGTCTAGTGCTAGAGGTATGAAATCTTTTTTTAATAAGACTCAGCTAATGTAAAAAGTGGAATGGCAATAGTCCCTATGAAGCTTTTTATATACTAAAACGGATACTAAAAAGATACATTGATTACTGTCAGGTGTTCATTGTAGCGGGTGAGAGTCCACATCTCAACACAAATCATGATAAATCACGTACTGTACACAAAAAAAATCTAGATATTTTTGACAATATACTGCACAGTTTACCATTGGTAATTAGTTAAAGCTCTTCCACAATGATTAAACAAGCAAGACAGACAGAATAGAGGAAGTGGCATCATGCATGAGGGAGAATATCACCAACCTCTAGTGCAATGTGCAATTATGTCACTGTAACTGGCAAATATGATCAGTGTCTTTCATGGGAACATTGTACCAAGCCAATGTCATCTGTAAGCATCATGCTATAACATCTGCTGACCATTCTCCATTTTCACCATTTACTGTACGTGATTTTAGTGAGCACTGTAAGAATACCCATACCTTAAAAAGGGATATGGATGGTCTGTCATCAATGCATCTTTTTTTAAATACTATTGGAAAACATTTTCTCTGCACAGCAGAAAAACTCCAACAAAGCCACAAAACGTATAAACTGGGCATTTCTCTCAAAGAAGATAGGTACCACACCATTCAGTTGAGTTGTCTGGTTAATGAAAAGAGTCTTCAGTGTCTTAATGTATTAATGGTGGACCAAGCCAATCCTGCTGAATTATGACCAATGACTGATTCAATACAAAAGGGTCACTGATTCACTGATACCATTTCTAGGAATTTGGTGTACACGTTAAATAACCCTTACTTTATATAAATAATAAAAACATTATTTTATATATGACTGTTGTATATACATTTGGAAATGCAGCATTCTGGGGGACAGAATTGTGTATAATGTTTCTTCCTTTCTCTGTTTTTTACTCTGCCTCTACCCCTCTCTGTCACTTTTTTCTTCCTCTCTCTCTTTCCTGTCTCTATCCTGTCTCTTGAATTCGACGAGCTTTTGGCATAACTGATGAGTTACACTGTTGCCAAAGCAGTAACAATTAACACAACATTTACAACAAAAACAGTTTCGTCTCCATATCCCTCTCTAACTCCTGTCTTTCATCTCTGTCTTCTGTATCACTCCATCTCCCTCCTCTCTCCTCTCCCTCTCCTCCCTTTCTCATTCCTCTCTTCTCTTCACTCCTCCCATTCTGTCCTTCTGTATTCTCTGCCCCCCCCCCCCCCCCCCCCCACCAAGGGTCAATATGGCCATTATTGGTTTGGCCATTTACATCATTGCTAGATCCAATGTCCATTTTTATGCTCAAGAAGGAAGAATGCGCAAAAAAACAGGCCCCTGGACTTGAGAGTGTAGGACTGACATCACAGTGCTCTGTAGGATTACATTTTTCACTGTTACCTTTTGCCCAGGTTCACCATTGCTGTCTGACAAGCACAAGCATTCCAGAGACAACTCCTGCCTTTCTCCCAGAGAGAGGCCCTGCAGTGCCATTTACCCCAACCCTCAGGATCCTACACAGGTGAGCCTGGCAGCAGCAGGTCCGGAATGAATTTCACATCAGTGTGTGAAAGCCACCAACAGCTTTTTTTATAAGAAACCTCAATTTCTCATAAAACCCCTCAGTATTTACCCCCAACCCTCAGGATTCTACACAACAGACAGCACCTTGTGAATGTACTGTATGAAAGCCACAACCAGCTTTTTTTCTAATAAGAAATCTCAGTTCATTTCAGTGTCTCAGAGTAAAGACATTGGTGTTATTCATAAAATGATGTTTGTTTCCTTTGAAAGATTAAGACTATATCCAGAATATATATATAGTTCACAGAATGTTCCACTGTGTTATACCTGTACAACATAATGTGTGCAGTAAGAAGAGTTAAATTAGTTGATTTAATAATACAATTTAGATTATTTGTATGGTCTACAGCAGACAGTAGTGTGGCACAGTGGTTTGGGGATAGTAACTGGAAAGTTGTGGATTCAATTCCCAGGTGAGACACTGCTGCTGTACACTTGAGAAAGGTACTGTTCTTCACCTGAATTGTTCCAGTGAAATGCCTTGCTATATAAATGGTGCAAAAATAAGTTGCTTTAGATAAAAACATTAGACAAATAGTATTATTAGTGCTATATTGTTATTAATACATAGAAGACCTTCAAAGTGATACACATTGCATGACACTATGATGTAAAAAAGTCTAAAAGTGCTTAGACTTTTCCATTTTTTTGTATAAATACAAAATAATATTTTGTATAAATTTTGTAAGTTCTTTTTTCTATTTACCATTGGTTATTTCTTTTTTAAAATTCTACCGTAATGAGATTTGCAGTGCCAGCTTTTCCTTCTCATCACTCCAACAGTGGAAATGTGATGGATTTTTAAGGGGCAGGCATGAAAAAGATGAAGTGTGGTAATGCTAATTATACAGACAACTCCATCTGCTGGAAGACTTGCAAATGGTGCAGAGCAATATTCTGATAGCTCAGCCTGTGTTCAATCTGTACTGATAACTCACTAGATGGTCAACCACAAGACATGAACAATTTCAGTGCTAAATTCACATAAATATCCATTGGGAAGTGTTTGTAAAAACCTTGGTAGGGTATTTGTATTTTATTCAAATTAGTCTGTGGTTTAAATCTAAATTAATAGCTGTCTGTATGATCTGATAGTTTTTATTAACGGTGTTGATAAAAATGCTGCACAAATGGCACTTGTATTGCTGATAGGGTACATTTGTTTACACAAGTACCTTTTTCCAGCATTTTAAATTGATTTGACCTGCCTTAATGAAATATGGGACCTGTAAATTTAGATTATTTTTTGGAGGGCCTGTGTTCACATACTGTGTGAATTTTACTGACACCTGTGTGATGGTTATGAATTCAGATTAAGCAGGTTTTATATACTTTATACTGTATCTTTATATGTTCATATTCTTATTTTTTTTTTAGCTCCTATATTAAATTGTAATGTACTTAAGTAACCTTACCACAATGTATATGACAGGTATAAAGACTTCACGTGTGGACATTATCTTGATTTCTATAATGGATAACTGTTGTTGACAATTGGTTTATATGATGTGATCACTGATTTTCCAATTATGCAAACCAAACAAAACCGAAACCTTTAGATACATTTTTTTCAGTTTTAGAAAACATTCTTTCCCTAAAGAGAAATTTGCAAATTACATGTGTAATTGTACTTCTGTAGTGCAGATTAGCCTGAATATCAGCAACATTAGTAATTCCTGTATTTAATGTGTTTAACCCAGATAATATTTAAATACCTATGTAGCCAGAACCAGTGCCTGTGTAGCATAGTGTTCCTTGATAGCATATATTACTGCTATATTCCACTTGACCATACATAATCAGAATATGCACAACTCATAGTATTTTAATGAATAATACAATTGATTGCAAAAGTATCTAGACCCTTACATAGTTTTTTAAATTTTGTTGCTTTAAAGCTTGCAGTTATAACTCTTTGGAGTAACACTATTTCTATATACAACCTACTTTACAAATTCAAAGCAAAAAACATAATTAAGTAAATAAGATAATAAATATAAAAGAAAAATGGAAAAGTAATGATTGCATAAGTATGCATGCCCTGTGCTATGAGAAGCCTAAGTAAATTTAGATGCACAATATTACAATATTGAAACTTGAAGACCAAGGAGGCAGAGATCAGGAGAAGTGTATCAAAATATTTCAAAGACCTTTACTATCTCTTATCGTGGTGAAGTTGATCATTAAGAACAGAAAGGCACCCAGATGCTGCCTAGAACAGGATGTTCCTCCAGGAAGGTGAGGAGGAAACTGGTGAAGGATATCAATATGAGCCCAACAGTGACTTTGAAAAAACTACAGTACTATATAAAGTTCAATGGCTAAGATGGGTGAAAATGTCCCTCAGTTACAGCTGGCTTGTATAGGAAGACATCACTGAAAACAAATTTAAAATCCAGCAAGAAGTTTGTAACAAAGCATTTAAATGATGCTGTAAAACATTTGGCAAAATTGGTTTAGGTATCAGATGGTACTAAATTGGAACAGTATGGTCTAAATACAAAATGATACATCTAGTGCAAACAACACAGTGCATCACCCAGGCAACAGCATATCTACTGTCAAGGATGGTGGAGGTAGTATTATGAGGCTGCTTTCATTCAGCAGACTTGGAACCATAATTGCTGTCAAAGGTGCTTCCACCAAATGTTGAGTTCACCGATATGAATACTTATGCGATCAAAATATTTAGTTTTTTTCTCTAGTTTTTGATGACAGTTACTGAAACTTAACTTACACTTGGAAGTCTTCAGTTTGAGCATTCAGATTTGAGTAAAAAAAAAAGTGTAATCATTTTCTAATTTCACAAAATGGGACACCATAGGAAGTGTCTGAATACTTCTGAAAGGCACTGTAGCTAATGTAACAGTTCTGTTTCTCTTTTTCAGAGGATGCTTCCACATCAGTCAGGGGATACATCTTTACCCCGAAGCGATCCAAATCTTTCCACACCAGAGAAAGGTGCGTAATTCAGATCATCATTTAGAAACGTGCTTTTGAACATTTACATACTTTGTGTGTAATCACAGATATTGACATTAGTAAATAGGCAATTTTAGAAAAAATGTTTTCTGTTTATCTGCTTGAACTATACAAGGCAATGACAAAATAAGAATACAGCCAGGGTGTTAAGATGCTTCCCTTTGCCTTATGAAGGACAGCAGTTACCTTTGAACATTGTCTGGATGAGATCAGTGATCTTTTTCAATGGGTTTTGGTCTCCTCCAGTTCCGATTCTGTGCAGGATAGGCCTGATAGGACACTGTGGGTCTTTCAGAGGCTGGTCACAGATAGCCCACATATGCACAGTGCTTCCGGTGTCTGGCTAGATCATAGTACGGTCCTGGTACTATGGTTCTCTTTCCAACCTTACACACTATTGTTGGTTTACGGTCAGAATCTTTTTAAAGTTAATCGACAGATGACTAAAGGCATTGAAATGGAAAAGTTTGTTTTGGATAATCCAGATGCATTGGACAAGTGATTCAGACTCTTTTTAGACAAACAGCCATGTTTGTCTTATGGCTAAAATTGCATTCAGAATCACACAACCACAGGTTGTTCTATAGTACATTTCAAGTAGTGAGCAAATAGGTTTGTAAATTGTTTGAGCAGTATTGTTCCTTGGATTAAGAAAACACTAACTTCAAGTCATGCAATTTTATAAAAACTCTAGATGCTTAGTCTTTAATATTTGAAGTGTGATAGAATTTTCAAAATGAATTTAGATAAAGAATCTGAATAAATGGTGATTCAAAAAATCATGATTTTATTTGCAAGTACAGCAAAAGATATGATTGTGCCCTGCCTGAGTAATGAAGATCACCTTTCTGCTGTCTGCATGTCTGAAAGTAGCCTCTGTGTCAGAGTAGCTGGCCAGGGAATGAAATTATCTACTTCAGTCAGCCGACAAGTCTTGTGAAACTAGAAAGCTAGCTCCGTGAGTGAAAGGTATATAGCTAGAGTTCTGGTATGTAGTGGGTCACCATACCAGCTCAGTCCCATCCATCTGATCCAGCATCATAATTGTTTTCAGATAGTGCACCAGCAGAGCTTGCCGGTAGCTTGCCATCTGAATTAAAATCGTATGCATGCTCAAAAACTGTTCAAGCATAACATGGATAGCTGAGAGATGAATGAGATGATGTCTTGTACATCTGAGGTAGGGACAATGAAGGTGGTGGATTGTTTTATTCTGTGAAAAATGGTCAGCTTTCCAGACCTGACTGAAGACATTGTGTCAGGAGATGTTATGATGAGCATTTTGCTGACTGTTGTTTGTTCAAGCCTTCACCTTTAACACACGAAGGCCTTTGGTGCAGATTGAGGGCAACGTTACTGCTCACCAGTGCATTGATTGCGTCCTAAAGCCTTTCAGTTTTTCCTGTTCATGCAATTCAATCCAGAGGTGTCAGTCTTTCAGCAGGACAATGATAGGACATAGTGATAGAATTACAATAGATAAATAGATTAATAGATTACAATAGATAAATAGATTACAGTAGACAAAAACTCCCAAGAGACTGACCAGGTCTGTACATAAGTGCTACCATAATTGTGTTAATGCCCAAAAAGGTCATACCTGATATTGATTTTTTTTTAAGGTTTTCAATTTGTCATAATTGCTACTGAAAACATATCATGGTTCTTTGCTCTGTATTTTTGATTGCAGGTGTTGTGGTATGATATCTTGTTAAATATGAACTGATGAGTGGTTTAAACTCATTAAACATCAGTATGTACTGTATACAGTATAAAGTACTGTATATGTTTTAATGTAGATGATATTAGATAATATACTGTCAGTTTCTTTTTTTAAATGAATTACTATTAGCACAGTTTTACGAGTAGTAGTCTTGCATGTTATATATTCTGAAATATTTTCTTCCGAATGCCTAGCAAATAGAAGTTATGTTACACAAATGATGAAATACAAAGAAAAAAACATTTGCTATTCTATATTTTATGCAATTCAATATGCGATCCCTTCATATATAAAGCATACTGTACCTGTAGTTTTGATAATATCAATAAAATAGGGAAGTCCAAAAATGTGTATGGGTTGGTCCCTTAAATGTGGGTTTAGAAAATTCAAAACAGCACAGAAGAAGCCATTGTGTAGTTTAAACCAAACCAGTGTTAGACATGTAGTCACAAACCGATAAACACAGCTACGGTAGCCAAATTAAACTTTATCCATCACATACAGTGCCTTGTAAAAGTACTTCCAGCAGTGTTCTTTTTTAAGAAATATATATTTATATACTCAAAGACTGAATGTCTTATATACTCAAAGACTGAATATGAATATTTCTAAGTAAATGGTAACACAAACACATAAGAATAAAATGTAATTACAGTATGTTGACCGCATAACTATTCAGACATGAGAACTCAGTATTTGGTGGAAGCAAATTTGACAGTAATTACAGTTGCAAGCCTTTTTGAGTGTTTCTACCACATTTATACACTGGATTGGTGCGATTTTCCACATTCTCCTTGGCAGATTTGTTCAGCCTCTCTCAAGTTTGAGACAATTTTTACATGGCCACTCAAGGACTTTAACTTTCTTATTCTTAAGACATTCACTTTGGGTCTTCTTCCTGATGAAAGGTGAATTGATTTTTATCCCAGTTTGAGATCTGAAACAGGTTCTCCTCTAATATTTGCCAGTCCCTTGCTCCATGTCTTTTCCCATCAGTCTTGACAAGCTTTCCTGTCCTAGCTGATGAGAAGCAGACCTATAACATAATTCTGCCACCACCATGATTGACACTAGGGATAGTGCTGTGTGAGGCAGTATACTGAGCTTACGTCAGATCTATTTTTTTTTTAATTTAGACCAAAAAGTTCCACTTTTGTCTTGTCTGATCAACAACCTTGGAAGTTGAGATATCTATTTTAGTTCCACGTAAACACCCTTTGTGGAGTGACTAGGTTATTGCTGACACTTGGACATTTTGTCCTACAGTATCTCAGCCACTGAAATCTGTAGCTTTTTCAAAGTCAGCACTCAGTCACCACCTCAAAGTGGCATCTCTAACCAGTTTCCTCCTTGTCCAGCTGCTCAGTTTGCAGGGACAGGCTAATCAGAGCAGTGTGTGGGTGCCTCCCACTTGGTTCACCACATTCAAAGAGATAAGGATCTTTAAGATCTGTCTTTATACAACTTTATCCCTGACTTGAAATTTACTACCTGATTGAGGGCTCTTAGAGAGATAAGTGTATTTATTCTGAATTGTTTGCACATTGAGTTTGCTCAATTCCATGTTGCTTGCTAATTCTGTGCACGTACTATAAAATACATTTGCCACTGTAACGGTTAAGATGTTACTTTATGCAGTCAGGACATTTTTCTATTATTAACCAGTTTACATTTTTGTGTTTTACTGTGTGTGCTGTAGGATGTGGAAATAACCAGTATTAATTGCTACTTTAAAACATCATGGCTGGAGGATTAATGCAACAAAATGTGACAAACTGTGCAAGGGATAGTGTTGCAATGTGAATAGTCTTGCAAGGCACTGTATAATGTGGCTGAAAACCAGCAGTGTATCTTTATGTCCATATCCATATCCCCTGAGATTCTTCCCAAGTTGCTTAAATTAAACCAAATAGATACTGCTGGTGGTCAGGTGTTTAAGTGACATGGCTGATGGCAGCTGGCAAGATGGTACTCAGTTACTAGATAGTTGAGAATTCATTTTATTTTTGTTCCTCTGTACTATTGACAAGATGTAAAATGTAGAATACATTGATTCTGACACAGCTACCTGGGCTCAGACAAATAATTTTCAACTTTAACTGCACAGGGAATCTTAATGTTGTAGTAGCTTTGCTACACAGTCAGTATGATAGTCACCAAGGGAAATGGAGGGAAAGAAATGGACCAGCAGTCTTGCATCAGAATCGGTCCACAGCTGTATTTATTCATTCTAAAGGCAAAGAGCCTCTTGAAATCACAAGTATCATCAATTTGATTTAATAAATGCATCAGTAGTTGCTTTTTAAAATTAACTTTATACTAGTGGCACAAACATATTTTGACAGGGATTTGAACATTTTGTAGTGGCTCTTGAAACCAGTTGGTGTACTATCTCCCACTGTGTATAATTACAAAGGAAAGTTTAATCTGTTCTGTTTATAACTAAGGAATGGTGGGTGTTTCTGAAATTGATCTGTCAAAGTTTCTACTTCTAGAAAATAGTCATTTATGTTATGCAATGATTAATAAATCCTTCACACACTTATTTTAGTGTGTTAGTCAAAGAATTATATAAAAATGTGGGAGAACAGTAATCATCTATGAGACCGGTAGAAGTAATTAGAGTTCATTTTGACCAAATGAATAAAGAACTATCTCAGGATTTCTTTCACTATTGATCTTAATTTACAGTATCTTAGTTCTGAGTGGGAAAGCATCTAATTCCAATTATCAGTATCTATGAAATCACAAAAAAGAAATGTTGTCGTTCCATGAGATCTCTAATCTTTTCATTCCAGTTTGATATTCTACATGTATATATTTTAAGTATTTTCATATGTTGTGCATACAGATTCTTTAAATCTTTTATTGTAGCATTGACAGTAAACTGCTATAAAATGAGTTCTTTCCTATCTAAAACTAAGAGTTAAAAATAATAATTTGAGAGTTATGGGTAATAACAGAGTCCTGTGCCCTAAGAGAGAATGTTATTAAAAAATCAATGAAGAATTTCTACCTGTTTTTTAATTAAAATTCACGCTCTTTAATTATGTATTTCTTTGTATATTGAAGTTGTGAACCCCACCCCCAGTAGCTGGAGTCTAGACAGTGGTAAAGAAGCTAACACACAATTTTCAGAAACTGTTGGGAAGTTGGTATCACCACCAGTACCACCTAGGCCTCCATACCCAGGTAAAAAAGAACACCAGAAGCAGTACTGATGTTTTCCTTGTTACATTTACTAAATGATTTTTTTGTCTGTTTCTTCTATATAATCTCTTCTCATTTTTTCACCTTCCATAGTTTGTATAATATTCATCTTACTTCCACACTTTATATAATGTTGACTGATATTAAGTATTGAAATATGCTGTAGGTGTTTGCCTAACATAAACTATGTAGAAACTTGCAAAATATTGTTTCTCTGTTCACAGTCCTAGATTTAAACAAAATATAGAATTTGGTTTTAACTTATCCGTTAAAATGTATATTAGTTGAAATGCTGTTACAGTATATACTGCACTCCATTAAAATGATGTTAAAAGATCATTTGTTTCAGTCCTTTGTCGTAGCAGTGACTTGAATGATAATTATTTAAATGTAGAATATAGAAGTTGATTATTGTTTATAGGGTTTAAAAAGTAAGTCAAAATAGCAATATAAGGCCAGTGAATTATATTGTATATCATTAGATAGAACATAAAAATGTGAAGCTTTAAAAAGAAGTGTTTCTAAAAAAAGACATATATTTTTCTATTTTACATGTATTTTAATATATTTATCCTATATTTAGTTCTTTGTTTATCAGTGTTCCTTATAAAGGGAATATAGCTACTCTTCTTGCTGCCTTGAAGACTAATTAAAATCAACATCATGAAAAATGTATTAATGTACATTAAGGCTGACCATCTGTGTATTCAGCTAGAGCTGTAACCCATATGTGGTTTTCAGTCCTAAGCAGGTGGGATATTTTAAGCACTGTTTGTTTTGCTCCTAGAGCTTGATCACTTCGATTTCCAGTGTGTGTCTTCTACTTTAAATGTACAGTTGGTTAAAATGTGCATTACTTAAAATAGTTGAGTTGTAATCAATATTCATTGTATTACCATAAAGGTCTGATTTTTTTTCTTTGATTTTAAATAGACTGTTGTTCCATGTGACTCAGTTTTGGTTAGCTATGATGTCATCACACATATTTAATTTCAGATTCAATTCAAGTAATATTGCTAGTAATTATTTTTATTCTTTACCAAAAAGGATCCCCTGCAAGGAACATGAGGTCGGTGTCTCCGGTCCCTACCCCCAGATCTCCACAAAAGGTTTGGTATTTTCTCAGCTTTGTGTTCTTTTAATGCTTTCTGTAACATTTACTTAAGAGCAGTGCAGAGAAGTGAGGTTGTAGTAAAAGAAGAGTATAGAATGAAGAGTGCTATAGGCCCATTGACCCACTGTTATCCAGTATGTGTGTTTATTCAGGTACAAGTAGTGGTGGACAAAATCTAGAAAAATGGAAATTCTAAAGTAAAGGCACTTAATATGCATTGGGCCAGTGTGACCTGCATGCACTGTGATTTACATTCTATCAGCACCTGGGATTCTGCAGGAGGTATGTGACACCACTCTTCTATGAGACAGTCAATAGACTCACACCTGGTTGATTGAGGTGGAAAATGCTGTCTCAGGAGTCATGCCGGAATATCCCATCAGTGTTTGATTGAGTTTAAATCTGGCGACTAGGAAATCCATGACATACAGTATAGATAACTTCAGTGTTGTGCTCAATGCTGCAACATGTGATGAAGATGATCCCTCAGTACCTTTAAATAGAGATTAGCACTGGCCTTGCTTTCTAAGAGAATGAGTAAATCTAAATCATACAAGGAGAATGCACCTCATAACGTTATGAAACCACCAGAGCCCTTTGCTGTCAGATGACCAGATCACAGTTCTCAGCTTCTCTGTAGTTCATTGCCTGTGCTCTTTGCAATACAAGAACTGCAAATTCACATTGCCAGGTGTGATGAAAAGTTTGTACACTGCAAGCTGACTTAGGTATCCTGCACATGGGCATTCTCAGAGAACCGTTCTCGATTAAAATCTCGTCAGGTTGAAATTCACACTCAGCTGTAGTTGTAGTTGTAGTTTGTAGTTGCTAGCGTTTTGCCTTGCACTTTGAATTAGTGTGCGTATTGCACAATCCTGGAGTATACGCATTCACCCTCTGTCGCACTGTGCATGGGGATGCTTTTCATCAGCATTGCTTGTGAAACAAGCTGGTCTGTCTTGGCCGTGTGCTCCTGCCAAGCACACACCAACCATATAATTATAGGCAGCCTGACCTTTCCAGGATGTTTACATGACCTGAAGTGTACTAGGATGTTATTTACTTAGCCACACCTGTAGGAGGCCTTACCCGTATTGATGCATGTTCATATGGTAAAATATTTTTAATTTCAGCAGTTTTGATTTATGCAGCATTTTTAGGAATGTATCAGCTGCTTAAGTCAAGAGTTGCCTATATACTGTACATATTTAAGAAATATTGACCATTGAAAACCACTGTGGTTAACCACATTAGGATAAACCACTAGAGAGCAGCAAAGACCCATGAAAATAGTGCTCATAGTAATCAATATGATACATTATCAATTATCACATTATCAAAATGATTGTTGTAACCAGGAAAGATGGAAAGTATAGAAACATCATTTGATAAAATTCCATCATTCCACTAAATTACCTAGTTAGGAAAAAAACTTTTCTTCTATGACTCTGAAATGAAATAAACAATTACACGCACATGACAAGAATTATTGCAAGATAGCAGCAGAAATTCCCAAAAAGAACAAATGAACTAAATGTCTGCAGGTAACAATACCAACAAGAGGCTCACAAGAATCAATGGACCTTTGGAAAACATTTTAATATTTCTTAAAGATGTTGATGAAAACCATTTGGAAATGTGCAAAGGCTCCTGATACTGTAAGTGTACAGTGTTCCAACATGAGCAAAACAACTGCTTTCCTTGAAAATGTGGCTGAAAATTGGTAGAAATTCACAACTACATCATGCTATATCTCACAGAGAACAGAACGGTGTGGGAGCAACTAAACTCCAAAAGGCACACAGAACCTGCAAGACATCTGCCTTTACCATTACTTATTTTGGATTAGCCCAGTTTTCAGTTTTTTGACAGTGTTGGTGTGTTGGTATGGCTTCAACTGTACAGTACATGGTTCTCTGTATTGTTTTGTGTCTTATGGAGCAGTTTTGACAAAAGCACCATATTGTGCAGTCCACAAAACATGCTGCAACATATGGCCTTAACATCCTAATTCTCCAGTGCAGACATCTGCCTTTCTATACAAATGTAGCAGTATTTCATTGAATATGCTAAAAGACTAGATCCTGTGTGTTGTATAGCACAGAAATGTTCAGAAATACAGGGCACCTGAATTCTGTGAAGGGTTGACTAGAATCCTGGACATGAATCCAGTTCAGAACTTTATTTACTCCTTGATGCAAGTATTCCACTGTATTAACAACTTATGTGCAAGGAATGGGCAGCAATCATGTATATTGTGATTACAAAACAAGTAATGGCTAAGCACAAGGAGACATGGGGCTGCTGCAGAAGACTAATCCCACTCATATATCACCACTGTTAGGTATGGTAACTAAACAGCTGTTCTTCCAAAATTGAGTGTCTGCTTAATTCAAGTGTAGCAACACGTAAAAAGTACCCATAAGGCATGCAATTTCATTTTCCGTTTGAAGTTCAGTTATTTATCTAGTGTCCTTCTGCCTGCCACTGAGTGCCTGCTTTTGCTGCACATTTTTTAGAAATCTGATCGCTATACTGAAATTATTTTGGGAAGGCTGTGTGTGGTTTTTAAATGTATTTTGGTTTTGGTTTTTAAAACTGTATATGTACATGTACAGTATGTATACATTATATGGCATAATCAACATATGTATATATACCTACATATGAACTTTATAGGGCTCAGCTTCCACACAGTTGTTCCTTGGGTTTTTCAAATCAGTTCAGTGGATTTTTCAAAAAGAAACTTTTACTTGGAACACAGTTTGCAATGATTGTGGACTGGTCTCACTGTGTTTGGATCAAATGCATCTTTGCCTCAGGCCTTTCTCTCCCGTTTCATGGGGAAGAAAGTTATGTTACACATTCAGTTTGTCGAAAGAGCAATTAATTGGCCTCACATGCTGAGAAGGCCACATAGTAGGAAAGAACTGGTGCATTTACAAGCAAAAAGAGTCCTTGGAACATGCCAAAGCACACATGAAATTAGAACGTTGCATTGAGTAATCCCATTGTTTTAATAGCAACTCCAATATTATCTCTTTTCACACAGCCTTTTATGAAGATATTCTATACAGTATCTTTGTTTCTGTTAACCTTCTGTTACAGAATTAACTTAAAATCCTCCTATATCAAACAAACAAATTGCAAAATGTTTTGCTTTCTTCTCATTAAGTCTAGTCATAACAAAATATTTTTTTATATATATTTTGATGTTATTGGAGTTAGATGTGTGTGGAATTTCATTATCCAAAGTTACATTTTTTTAATATGAACATTGATTATTATGTATAATTTAGATGTGCACTTTTATGCTATTAGTAAATGGGACATGGAAAATGACAAATAACATCTTTAGCACTTTCAAATTTATGGACCAAATTGGGTTAATAATACAATTTAATTATATACCCATAGATAGGGAATGATGTCTGTAATACAGCACTCTTGCAATCAGGAAGTAATCAGGCCATTGCATAAGAAATCATTAGCTAAGCCATTGTGTACAGTGAATGAGTCTGATTTTTGAAAGCTTAATAATTTCACTTGTGAAGGAAAATTTCACTAGGAAAGTCATATGGTGCTGCAGTTCCACGCTTTATCTTTATGAGCATGTTGTATGCTGTTGCTGTTAATTATTACTAACATTTCTTGTTATTTCCTAAACGCAGAACTCGGCACAGTCATTCACACCATCTCCCACTGAGTGCCAGTCCTCGGGGTTAGTCTCCAACTCTCCCGTCCTGTCAGGAAGCTACAGCAGCGGGATTTCTTCACTGAGCAGGTGTAGCGTATCGGAAACATCTGGCATCGAAGCCCAGCCAAGTGAGCACATGCTGACAACGTCAACCTCCAGCGGCTCTGATGAACTGACGAGAAGGGAAAACAAAACTCCCCCTCCTTACCACGTGTACGAACGAACAAACTCCAGGCGGCCCGTGCCTCTACCTCACAGTCTCTCCGTCCCCGTCAGCTCAGACCCCCCGGCCCTCCCTCCGAAACCCCACCAGCTCCGCTCCGGCAAACTGGACAGTGAGGCCAGGCGAGTGAGCAACGCTGAGCAGGGCCCCAGGCCCAGGCCTCTGCCTAGGAAAGTATCTCAGCTATAGCAGCCTTTCTTCTGAAACACGGATGCGTTTTGCACTCTTCCACTTTCTGGTTTGGTGAATCCCAAGGTCCTAGAGGAGACGCAGAAGAATATTTGCCAGTTATCATTGGCAGCAAGATGTACAGCAGCATTCAGAATCTGAAACCATAGGGATGGAAACAATATACGCAATTGAGAATACACTTCCTCTAACATTTCATTTTGATAGATATAACATTCTAATGTGTACTGGAGAAAAAAAATAACAGGGTTTTTTTTTGCCTTAAACATTTAAATGGCAGTTGTTCTGACAGCAAGCTGGTTGCAGCCAGCCTTGCAAATCAGTGGAGTCACACAGTTAAATTACAGTCTAATAGACAGCTAAAAGGTGCTAGAAGTTTCTTAAATGTCTTTCAGTATAACATAGTGTCTAACAATCCTCTTGCCTGAAAATTAGCTATAAATTAGCTCTGTGGGGTTTTCCAAGTATTGTGCCAAAGGAACATTTATGCTTTTCTGTAAACTGGAACATTAGAATCTAGAAACTGCGAGTGTTCTACTGAAGTACAATTTACCCTTTACTGTGCTCAGTGAAATGTGCTTTACCATATTGTGTTTGTAAAAGCAAACTTAAACATTGGCTTTCTGATTGCATGAGGCCTGTATAAAGCAATATAAGTACTGTAGTCCTGAAGTGAGGTATATTAGATAAAGCACAAATGGGTATTACAGTTAACTACAAGCAGTGTTTTAACAGGATAGTTACTTAAACAAACAGCCCTGTGATGGAGCAGTCACTTTCAGACCAATGTGGACATTTGCAATTATAAATAATAAAGAAGTATGGTTCGTGGTGTTTTAGTTTTTACAAAATCTAGGCTGCCAAAGCCCATTGCAGAGAGGGCTTTTTATTCCTTAAGACTCAAATTTCATGCATTCTATTTGCGGAGCTTTTTTGAATTTTAAGCAATGTTCAGCAACATGTTTGTATAGTACAACATTTTTCAGACTATTTTTCTTATCAGTTTGACTCAAAATATTCCTGACAGAATGTACTGTAAAATGAAACTCATATTTTGCAGTATAAAGATGGAGATGGGCTCAGAACCCAGTATTAGAAAGCATTTTATTGTGAGCAGAATTTTTTTAAAAATATCAATGAACCATGTATATTGATTGCTTAACTCAGTGACCAGTTTTTCAATTTTAACTACAACATTCTTTATATGTTTTACTTTTTGTATGGTTTAGGTTTTTTTTCTTTTTTGTGAAATTGAGATGAAATATTTACATGAATCAGTACTTGTGAAATTGTAAATTACATAATGAGATTGTTGTAAGTATGCCAAATACTTTATGTATTACAATTCTTGTACATACAATGTGTTTTTAACAAAATGTAGCCATATTGAATTTACAGCTTTGAATGTTGCAAGAACAAAATATAATTCTAAATGTTAAATATTTATATGTTTTAGTGAGTGTAGAAAAATCAAAGAAATACTTTTAACTGTACCTAATGTGTTTACTTGCTTAATAACCCCTTTTAAAAATGTTTCGGACAAGTACAAGTTTTGCATTAAATAACATTTAATTATTGTACTCCTTGCAGAAGGAACTCTTAAAGTATTTTTTTTATAGAGATAGCATTATCAGTTGACATGATCAAACAGATTGTAGAAAATCTGCTTCTTTTCAATGGCTGTAAAAGCTGTCAGGTGTACAATATTGTTAAGCATAGTCAGTGTTATTTTACCACTAAAAGCCATGTTTTTATTTGGTGACTGCACACTTTAGGGATATATGATGTACATGTTTAATTTCTGTTGCACAAATTTGTCTTCAAAAGAAATGCTTAATTGGACATAAAAATCTAATTTAAAAGTACAAAGCAAAAATAAAATTAACCCCTATAATTAAAAGCTTGTAGAAATTGTACGTTATTTCACCGTTACATTGTCAAGGAGAACTGCATGCAAAAGCAACAGATATTTTGACTATAGATGGATAAAAATACAATTCATCCATCCATTAACTAACTGCTTTATTTAGTACAGGGTCGTGAGAGATTCTTTTCCGGCAAACAACAGGTGCAAGGCAGGATACACCTTGGACATCAGTCAACATGGCAATAAATCATACAGTTTTTAGAAAACACAAAACAAATTATCATTCATCAAAGATAAAGCTTAGTGCATCTTCTTTAGAATATAACGTGGAGAAAAATATGGAAAGACTATTCCAAAGTTGGTTTATAAGGAGGTTTAATGGTCACCAAATGCAGACAGTATGGTCTTTAGGAACTGTAGTATAAAGTATACCAATGTCTGGAATTTTGCAGGATGGATACAGCATCATTCTTCCTCGTGACAGTCCATTAAATTGGCTGAAAACACTCTGGCATTCTTCCAGAATATCAAATGCTCAATGGCAATGTTTTGTTTCTGGTGCTTGTTTCAAACTAATATAATAAATTCCTCTGTGATTTTAAGTTCTGTAAATGTTTTTTCATATATATCTATTTTAATTCAGTTGTAATTACTCAGTAGGATTCCTCTTCAAGGCTTCTTATTTCTGGGTCCCTGCCTAGAATACACTTTATTAACATCTGTAATTGATTTCCATTGACACTTTAGCCATTAGTGGAGCTGCTTTATCAAAGGTGTTGTAACTTACCAGTATGCCTTTCAGTGAATCATTCTGACAGAAATCCATGTTTCTTAAGTTATCTGTAGAGAGGCAGTTGTGCGATGTTTTTTCAGATGACCAGTTCAGATTATCTGCTGAATGTTGTTTCTTTATCTTGTATATTTGGACCTCATAATGTCCTATATATATTAGTCATTCCCTCTTTAGCATATGAATGAGTACTGTACATCTCTCTAGTTCCGGACTCAAAACTGAATCACAGACAAAAAAGTAGTGTAATGGTTAAGACTTTAGCTTTGAATTTAGCTTTGTTTCCTGTGTTTAATTCCTAGCCACTGTCACATTTAATACATTAATTAAAAAGAAAGAGGTATCTCTTGAATCTAATAGATTTTTAGATTCATCACGAATCACCACTACATCATTTTGTCAATTTGGATTTAACAGTGTCATATAGTTGGCAATAACATGGTTTTAGTGTCCAGGAAGTGGATTTTTGGATCATAAAGGTGTTTTTTTTAGGTTTTTAAAGAGATCAATGCAGGAATGTGCAAGTTTGGGTAAGTTTGCACACAGTAGCAACCGAGCTCTCTGAGTAGCTCTTTAAATAGGTTGAACACACAGAGTCACCTGGTTAACTTTCCTCCGTATAGAGCTCCTAGTTAGTATACACGGATGGTAGAGATGTTTGAGGGAAGAAGCATGGTTGGCTCTCCAAATAGGTAGGTCTACCAACCACTGCATTGCAGATTCTCAACAGCACACAGGCTGCTTAAAACAAACCCTTGCGCTACAGGAATCTGTGGAACATCCCAATCATTTTTATTAGAGAAATAACATAAATCACACATAAAGTAAATGCAAACAGTGCTCCTTGTGTAATGCCAACAAGGAAACCCAAGCTCCAGTTTTTCTACATTTTTTAAAATCCATTATCAGTTTCTTCCCACAGAGATAAAGACTTTAGGAGACCAATCCCACCTCTGAAACCCCCTTTCAGCACCTCTTGCAAAAAGACAAAGCTACTGGCCATTTCGGAAGTTCAGACACACGAAGGTAAAAACATATAATAGGAAGAAATGAGATCTAACGTTATGCAACTGTATGCTAAAAAGAGCAGAGCAGACGAGTTTCTTAAAATCACCATAAGTAATGGCTACTAATGGATTTTAATAGCACAACTGTTAAATAAAGCCCAATTAAGTTGAGCATATGAGCAGCCTGTTGAAAACAAACACATTTATTATTCCTTAAATCAATGTTTATTCTTAAAGTTGAAAGTTCTCATACAGTCCGTCAAACAGATGGCATTAAAATTACATTTCAGAAACATTAATAGTTTATAGTTTAATTAAATTAATCTTAAATTAATGTACTATCAGGCTTACAGACCCATAAAATGCAGCAATACTAAAATGATGTGTTCAAAGAAATGTACAGAAAGATTTCCTTTTATTCATGTTAACAACAATGTTATTCCTACAAATAATTGCAATTAATGTTATTCTACATGCTGGCTCATTCCTTATTTACATCAGTGATTCTGTTCTTACTGTATGACTTTCAATAATCTCTAAGTTAGTCTTTGAAATTATTTCAGCTCTGAATTCGTCTATCAGACAGTGACATAAGAAAATGCAGTCTACCATATTATACAGGTGGGTAGCTGCGTCAGCATGCGTAGGCTGCAAAGGAACAAGTAATAGGTTTATTCCATGCTGAAAAAAAGAAGAAAGAGAACACAACGTTTCGGCTGTGGAGCCTTCTTCAGGTGTGACACACCTGAAGAAGGCTGCACAGCCGAAACGTTGTGTACCATATTATACAGCCAAACAATGTAGAAAACGAATAGGCTGGGCTATGTTTGGCACAACTCTTTTTAAAAGGAAATACTTAGTTTGTTTAAAGTGTAAACAATTTCCTGCAGCATTTTCAACCTTGCTGTAAACCATAGGTTGTGTTCTGCTGAGCTGAAACTGTAGGCAGAATTATTCTCTTCTGCAATGCAGGACTCCTGGGATTAAACCTTTATCTCAGTCAAAACTAGCATCTTTCATTTCAGCAAGATTTCTCCCACCTCAGAACAAAAACGTAGCATGAAACCCATTTGAGATCTTTATTTATTGTGAGTTAATCCTTCCAGGAGACTGAGGATGTGGTCTATTTATAACCTACATGCACCTTAAAGCCTGTTTAATTGCAAACAATGAATAAATGAAAGGTAATTCAGGATGTCCGTTGAAGTAAGAGTAAACTGCACAGTTTTTTTTCAACATGCAGTATGTTGGATGCATACATTTTGCTGAGAAAGAGAACAGTATAATCAATAGTTAGACTCTACTTAAAGATTCAGTGTATCCATTAACTATAGACAAAGGCAGCTGTATCATTATTTTTTACATAGCTGCAAACAAAACTAAAATTTGTGTTATGTGCATAGCAATTTTTTTACAAGTTGCAGTATGATAAAACAATTTACTGTGCTACCTTCCATGTAATTTTGGTTTCAGGTCAATTCCTTGTTATGATGATTATTCTAGATTATCTATAGACGCCAGGATCCTCACCATGACAAGTGGACTGAAAATGGATGGTAGGAAGGGTGGATGGGAAAAGAGTCCTTGAACGAGAGCACTTTGAAATGAATGTGATGTAGCATCTCAAATGTTAATAAAAATATTAAGAATGAATTGAGAAACAACAGCAAGGCATTGTAGTAATATACATCAGACGCATTTGAAAACACGAAATAGGATACAGAAAGAAAACAGACACTTCTGGAGCCTTGTGAATATTCTTCAGAAGCCACATTTAGAATAATTTAAAAATATCACCAAGATCTATACAGATAAAGCTTACAAAATCTCACCTCCATAAAAGCACTTTGAGATTTTCATATACGTGTGATACATGCTGAACTGTGTTCTAATCTCAGCGGTCTAAATTTTAATTTAAACTAAATGCTATGTTTACATTAGCCCAGTATTAACTTCTTTGCATTTCCTCCCAGAACAGTTGTCTGGTTAGATCCTAATAAATATTATAGAGGGATGACGTGTGTAGAGGGTGTGTGAGGTACAGTAACTTGCTTAGCTGTAGAAAAGGCAGCTAGCCATGATGACAATGCTGCCCGGACCCCCCCAAAAACAAAAATACATGCAAATCTATAACTACTAAGTTGATTATGCACAAGCTTTAGCTCTCCAGATTGATTTGGATATAAGCGTGATACACGTACGATAAGGTCATCGACATAATGGTTTGTCGACATAATGGTTGAGATTAGTATTGAGATGGAGAATTGAAAAGAGTTTTTAGATTGAGGAGAATCATTGATAAGAGACTTTGACAGAGTATTGAAAAATGATGGGGTGCTGTGGTGCCCAAGTGTGGGACACATGACACGGAAAAAATTCCCAGACATACCCTATGGAGGTATTAATGATGGGCATAACTTTAAAAGCATTAAAAAATGTTGGTTTTTGTGAGCAGAGCATTTCTACCTGTTGCTTGATCAAACAAATAGTATTATTGTAGTATAAGATAGTATAAGCTCTAGATAATAGGACTGAACAACAGTGCACAACCGTAAGTAGTAAAATACTTTATTTCTGGATGGATATATGGGGAGCGCTAAGAGCATTAATTTGATATTGGGCAGGGGAAGGGGGGAGTTGTACTGAGAATGGACTGATCTTGAAACCCTGAATGGCCTCTGAATAAAAGACTCAGGAGCAACTGCATCTGGGAGGTGATTAGAGGTTGTTGCAATAAGGAGAATGAGAAGAAGACTAATCCCAGAAGAGAGCCTTCTAAGAAAAAATGAAATGAAGGAGGATTCTAGTACAAGGATGGCTTGAAATCCAATATGAGAATTTGTATAAATTTGGTGATGAAACACAGTTAGTCATTAGGGGAAACTGAACAAAATGCAGAGGAAGGAAGCCGCAGCTGGAGCCTCTGCACTCAGGTGAGTTGAAATTATGTACTCATCCTTCTCCTGCGAACGTAATAGTGCAGCCCCTAAAATCTTTGACTTTGATGAGGGTGCAAGAATTGGAGATGTAGAACGGAAAACAAATACAGCAGGAGAGGCTTGAAGTGGGGAAGGTGGAGATTCGGAGTGGCTGCTGTAGTTATACATGAGAATAAGGGCCCCAGGTGAGGCAAGCAATAGATTGGTAGAGCTCAGTAGACTCTATAGATGGGGGAGCACGTGAGCATAGTCTGCTAAAAATATTTACAAAACACAGAACTGTCAAAGTAAAAAGTGAGGTCTGTGATAATAGACAAGTAATATAGTATGTCTACTATTTTGGTCAGGAAATGTGGAGCTTTAGATATCCCTACATGAAAGTGGGGGGAATCTGTCACTGGGCTTTGAAACAGTCTGGTACCCAGTGCATATGCATTTGCACCCATGGGGAGGAGTGAGCATCAGCGACTGGGGGCAGGGGGCTCCTACAGAGGCATTGGAAAGGATAACTGAGGAAGTTGAAGAGACAAAACAACAAGGATAAGTTGGGACTCATGCTTGACCAGAAATGGAAAGGAGAGATGAGTGGAGACTTTGGAAGGGAGAGGAGACATCAGCAGAACTGGAAGAAAGAGCAGACCTCATGACAGAGGTGGTTGTTTCCTGAGAAGAAGTTGAAGTCGAAAAACTGTTTGTTTGATATGGGAGAAAGCAGTGTACAAACTCATTGGACCAAAACCTGCTGTGCAAGGAATGACATCAAGCACTATAAGAGAATGAAACTAAGCAAGGGGAGATGCGTGGGAGCAACTAAGGTGAGCTCTTGCAGCACTGAGTGTGAGAGAGATATGAGAAGGGACTTCCTG